CCTGCTACTCTCTGCTTTCTGTTTCAACTCTCCAACAGGCTCTATAGATGTACATAACATTCCACGCACTTTTTGTTTGTCTTCCTTTTCAGTTTTGCTAAGCGTAACTTTTCAGCGACACACTCCTTGATGTTTTTACTCCTATTCTGGTAGAGCTTCAGGAATGCTTTCCTCTGCTGCTTTGCGTCCATGAGATACCTCAACTTCTGAACAAATCTAACTACTTTGAATAAACTTCTATCGTTGGAGCCATTTCATCTGCCTCCAGGTCCAACCAGTCGTCGAATTCAGGACAAAATGCCTGAATGGAGCGGATATCATCCGCCCCCTCAAACTCATGTCTGTATTTTATAGATGAGTAACAATACAATTTCAAAACTGTCATAAAAACTTACAATGCATCAAAATATAGTCAACATATAACAAATATAACTTGTTCTTCGGTGTATGATTCTATTGCCTGGAAATGGCCTACAACGCTTTTTCTTCATTGGTGACACTTCAATAAAGATTTTTTTTTTCTTCAAGGCTTTTCTTTTATCTTCCTTGTCTTCTGTGGACACTGTCAGCACTGAAGAACTTGCTGCTGGATCATCTTTGCTTGTCATTACCTCGGATATGATGTATTGTAGAATTAACTCCAGTTCCTCGACTGAAAGACTCAGTCTAAAGATATGCACTTAATATTCAATTCAGATTTACACCAATACAACACCTGTCCACCTTTAAAGGTACATTTCCAATACTTGATTTGGCATTTCAGAAATTTTTCTATTTGCCTGCTACTCTAGGCTTTCTGTTACAACTCTTCAACAGGCTTCATAGATGTACATAACATTCCACACACTTTAAACACATTGGCTGTGCTCTTGGCACATTGCTTTGCTTTTACCTTTTGTTTGTCTTCCTTCTTGAATGTTGCCAAGCGTAACTTTGAGCTGAACCTTCCTTGATGTTTTTACTCCTATTCTGGTAGAGCTTCAGGAAAGCTTTCCTCTGCTGCATTGCGTCCATGAGATACCTCTTCTTCTTCTTCTCTACTGGCATGTTGTCAAGGTAGTCCCTGGTCTTTTTCACGCTCCACACGAGAATGCCCTTGAATGCAACTGTAATTGCATTAGGCACTTTTCGTTGCAAGTAATCTAGGCCCGCAAAGATTCTCTCAGCATATAAATTATCATTGGGGGCTTGATTGAGTTTGCATCCGTACCTCGTTGCTAACCTGATGGAAACGAATGAGGCGTGGATCGATATGTAGGCAGGCATATCTGGATCGCTTAAGCAAAGGTGTTCCCTTCTGTCATACTAGTTTTCACGCTTCTTTGATTACGCGATTGAATCGCACAACCCCTCTGTTCGACTGCGGATTATAGCGAGATGTGTGATGGTGGCATATGTCGTAGTTGGCTAAGAACTCTGTGAACTCTGTCGATGTTGTCACATGTTGAGGCAGACCGTACTTGGTGAAAAGCTTCTCGAGAATAGCTGTGACCGACTTTGTGGTACCCGAATTTCAGGCCATTTGCTATGTAATGTAAGTGATTTAATTTATGATGGGTGCTTAAAAACATGCTCTTGGTTTTCATAGTATTTATTACCATCTTGATGCTTGCACACCATTTTTCAATTTTGGATAGGTCTTCAGAGAGCTTTGCTGCACAGCTTCAAGAGTTTTCCAACTTGAGCTGACTGTTGTATCATCAGCATACATGTCCATTTGACTATCAAAGGAGAGGAAGATCATTCATCATTATAATGAATACCAAGGGGCCTAGTATGGACCCCTGGGGGACTCCTGACGTGATGGGCGACTTTTCAGATAGAGTATGTTCCAAGCTATCTCTCTGACTCCTATCCTTCAAATAGGAGACAAACCATTTACATGTAACCGAGTCTACTTGGTAACATGACAGTTTTTCAATCAGGGTAACATGGTTTACAAAATCGAAAGCCTGCCGAGGTCAAGCAGTACTATACCGACAAGATTAACTTTGTCAATACTTGTGCCCATTCAGATGTCCTTTTTTGCTAGGGCTGTTTCGCAGGAGTGTTGTTTCCTGAACCCTGACTGAGTGACAGTGACTTAGTGCCTTCCAGCTTTCCTCCACATTTCTCATTCTATCTTTCCAAGAGCATCTGACTTCTTTTAGGAGGATAGACTGAAGCTCTTCCAAGAGTGTCACTCTATTTCTCCAACAGAATGAGTAACTTCAGGTATTTTTAAAATATTTTCCTCTTCGGAGGTAGTTTATTCAATAATTTTACAATTCAACAGCATTAACAACATTACGAGGATCTAAATACATAATTCATAATCATTTTCATTCATCGAAAAGCTATTGTACTCTTTCACTTGAAAGTAATTTATCAAAATTGTACATTTTGTATATTGCTTATTGTGCGTATGTAACTTCAGAGTTGAATGGCATTTCTTCTGCATTGGATCAATCTAGTGTACCTCCCGCAGAGAAAACATGTGATCATTTTTTTTCCTTTGAACACGAACATCAGATTTACATTGTCACAACAAGTTGACATTAGTTTATACAATCATATATTCCTGCACTTCACAACACAACAGTAGCAACAGTATTGAAACAAAACAAATAATAAGATACCTGTCACAATATGTTTTAATCATCTTCACAAACCAACATTCTGCTCATGAGCAAATTAACATAACTTAATTTGTATGAGGTTCGTAACAACTTGTAGATTGTACTATTATTGATGTACATGTTCCTGACAGATGTTTACTATGTCCAATGAAGTTTTATTCTTAATATTCCTTAGTATTTTCCTGCAAAATTGTATGATGTGAAATGCTTTAATAATGTGAATGAATACATTGTATATATCATGCAATGTGTAGAGAGAAAGGGAAGGGTGATATTTGTCTTTATTAAACAATATCAACGCCTGAAAAGAATTCAATATTTTTACATTACATGCATTTTCTAATTGTGTACAGTGTACATTATTTTCATGTATAAAGAAAGAAGAGTATATCTGAGTTTTGTGATTTACAGTGACACATCTACACATACCAGGAAAGATTAACATAGGTCATTGTGACTTTGAATGTTTACAAACATTTCAACGCTAGCCGCTCATTTATACAAGAACCTTACATTCTATAAAGTACCATGGAGTACCATAGTGGTAGCATCATATTCGCTCGTTGTGCATGTTACTTGTTCTAAACAAAACAGCCTGTGCATGAGGTTCACAACAAAATTTATTCAAGCATTGGCCTAGAGAAGGGCAAAGTCAGTATAAGGGGCTTGTGTGATCACCACACAATAATGTTTAGCACAAAATTGTTTAGAATGAGCAACCTTAACAACTCTTCGATACTCCGTAGACCTTGTTGGTTTGCTTGTTCTGAAGTTTTATTTAACTCATGTCATGTCCATGTACCAAAGGCAGATACATGTATGTATATGTGTAGCTGAGATACTATAATTTATGACGATAAATTTTACAGAGAGAAAAAAAAGGAGGAAATTGTATTGTATCCGTGTATTTTATTTAATTATTTACATTCTGAATTTTCTTAGATGTGAAATGAATAGTTTGAATGGAGAAAAATAGAAAAATATGCATGAAATGAACAATAACGTTATGGGTCAACAAGTAGAGGAAAGAAAGTGGTAGATGGCTACAGGTGTAGAGACAGACAGACATAAAGACAGAGAGAGAGAATGTGTGTGTGTGTGTGTGTTAGAGAGAGAGAGCGAGAGATGGGGAAAGAGGGAGGAAAGAAGGGAGTGAAAGAGAAATGAAGTGAGATGGAAAGAGTGAAGGGAGAGGGAGCTTCTCAAGGCAGTAGAATTGTGGAGAAGAGAGAGAGAGAGAGAAAGAGAGGGGGTGTATTCCTACATGAAGCAGGAGGTACTGCATGATTAGTGATTTAGGTTGATGACAATGTAAAATGAATCAAATTACGCTTTTGAAGGTAAATTTCACAATGTAACCATTTATTTCAATAGAGAAGCAATTACATCAACCTGTACACTTCCAAATGAATTTAGTGCACAGCCGTCATAAATCCTTACTTTGAATAAAAGAACTACATTTCAAATTTGATCTATTTAATGTTAAGTACATGTAGTGTTTACAAAAAGTACACAATGTAAATTAAACATTTACTATTCTACTATGCAAACAAAGTATAAGGGACCAGCTAAAGGTGTGAGACTTGGTAGGTCTGGGTCGGTATCATGACCATCTATCTTGATCTACTGAAGATCTAAAAAATCTAAAGATTTTGAACAATTTTGAAAAAGTACCCTTTGTCTTGAAAATGGCCCAAAATGAACGTTTTTGAATCCTTTAAGGCGGCACCGCGCGGACTGCGTCCAATCAATAAAAAAAACGTCCATTTGACTGAGGATACGTTTATGCTCAATTTTGAAGGCAGATTGAGCGATTTGAAACGCTCATCGTAAACGTTCATCGTAATCGCAGTTCCACGGTGTACTGTTTATGTTTACTTCTCTGGCTCCTCCAGGCATGATTCTGGCTCTGCAGCTGGATTCGTAAACCTGCACTGCGCATGCTACGTTGACCTCATTTAAACGCGTTTACAAAAGATTGTGCCCCTGCCTTGATCCATAATGCATGGCCGTCCAGAGGATTTTTTATGCTGGGGACCGGGGTAAAATGCAATAAATTATTGTAAATTTATTGCATTTTCTGTTTTTTTTTTAAATTTATGGAAACTGCCCCCTACCCTAACCCTCGCTGCGTACAGTTATGGTTCAATGACAAAGCAATGGCCTCGTAACTGTGAGGCCTCATGAACAAAATCGTGTCGATGTGCTATAGTAGTGCCCTTTTGTGGGGGCATTAATCCTCATTACTGTCATTTATGACTTAAGGGCGTAGGTCCCCTAGTTGTAAAGCATAGTAGCATGCACATGCTTTAGCAGTCACACACAACACACAATGTCAAATTATTATTCAATAACATCTGAGAATGTATACTATTAGCTAGATCTATTATTTTTAAATTGTTTTTACAATAATTCCATAAATTGGAGTAAATCAAAAATATTTCAACTATATCAGCGACAGTGTACAAGAAAAGAAACTATTGGTTGGAAAAGGGGCCAGATATAGCACATGTGCTAGTCGAGCCTAACCTCTTAAAAAGCTAAACAAAGTCTTGTGGTACAAATCAGTTTAGAAAACGTTAAAAAAAATAAAAAAATAATGAATTTACTAGTACAATCGATACTTTAAAAACAAGAATACTGAACAATATCTTACAATATACAAACTAATAACGTAAAACATGAATTGTGTTCATATGCAAATTATCTAACTTGATATTTCATTCATGAGCTTAAACAGACGGCAAAACCATAATCATAGAGATAGAATAGGAACTGTTTCGAACGCGGTGTACGTGTTCGACGAACCACTCAATCAGGATTTCGACCACAGGCACGATCTAGAATTTGGCCTTCCTCGCTTGGGATAATAAGAGCAATGCGACGAAGAGGACGAACATGACACCAACGACGATTGAGATAATGACGATGAAGGTCATGGAACCTGTTAAGAAACATAAAAAACTAGTAAGTTACAGAAATATACAAGAAAAAGTAAAAGAAAAAGCACAAAGATACAAAAGAATTGTCGACGATTACTTCCAGTGGCTTCCCTTTATGTAGGTAAATACCTTCTGCCCCGTCCCCCTACACATGTTTGAAGAGGGCTTGCTTTTAGGCATCATGAGACTTCATGTACCCAACCACTTCAGCCATCCCTTCACCCACATCCCCTAAGCTGTCCATCAAATACACTCAGATAATAAAGAAAAAACACTTCCAATATCTAAAACGGTGGGTAGCCCCCCCCCCCCCGTACCATTCAAAAGCTTATGCATACACGCAATCACGCATACACATACACACACACGCTCACACACTCACATAAACGCACACGCACACGCACATGCACACACTAATCAACACCTATTTGTCCTACTTCCTTGGGCAAGCCAGATGTATAACACCCCGCCCTCGGATGACTCTGCTACCCCCCCCCCCCCGGATTTTTAACAATAAATTACTACATTACTGCATAGCTCACTGCCCCTTTAATTGAAATAGAAGATGCTCCTTTATTTCGCCACTTTACCATTCTCACACACCCTTCCTGGGCCCGCACCAGTAGGTGAGATATCTGTGTACTCCGGAGGACAAGCGCAGGAGAAAGTTCCAGGCTCGTTGGTGCAAGCCGCCACTGGGGAGCAGTCATTCAGCTCAGCGGAGATGCATTCATTCTGGTCTGAGAGGGAGAAGGAGGGTGGTGACAGAGAGAGGGGGTGACAAAGTGAAAGGGAGAGGGTGAGAAAGACAGAGTGAAAAGAGTGGAAGATAGAGAATGTGAAAAACAGAAAGAGAGGAGCAAAGTTTCCAATATAATTGAGAAAAGGGGTAATTTTGTTTTGAAATCATTTTTTGTGTGAGAGCCAGGAAGAGAATGATTACTCGAAATTGCAAGTCATCGTGTGACTGTACAGTAAAATTCACTAATTGACATTTTAAAGACTTTTATATAGATTATCCGATTTTGATCAACATCTTTTATCTAATGTGTTACTTTCCTACAAAGCATTTTGCTCTTTTATAACAATCCTGCCAAATAAATGAAAATGATCTTAATAAGATCAATGGTAATTGCATGATTTTGCCAAAACAAAAAGCATATTGTTGATAGAAATCAATAACTAATGTTATAATACATGTATAATGAAAACTGTTCAGAAAATTAATTGATGATAATGTAAAAAGTAGACTTACCTATTTCACAGTTCTGTCCTTCATAGCCTGGAGCACACTCACATATAAATCTGTCTTTCAAGTTCCTGCATGTACCGCCATTGGAGCATGGTTGTGAGATGCACTCGTTGATATCTGATTTTATGGGGGAAATTGGAATTCGTTCCATTAAATTCATCGAATACTTGATAATGTGCATCAGGGCCCTGTCTCACAAAGAATTGATATTAATCGCAACTATGTACACAAGAGATAGGAGACTGCAAACTTGCGATTGATTAGAGGACTTGCGATTGATTTGGATCAATCGCAACTCTTTGTAAGACAGGGCCCAGGTCTTTTGTTTTGTAATCAATAGTGCCTGTAATTACTCCCACCGCACACCACTCGACCGTCCTCCAATCCAATTTTCGAAAAAAAGCAATTGAATTGTATTTGTATTAGAAAGGAAATCTAAGCATCTTCCTTAATTAACTTCTAAATATTGATAAGAATACTTACAACCGGAATTCAGTATATTGAACTCTTCTAGTAACAAAACAAAGCCGAATCGTCTACAAATCGTAAACAATCGCCATATTGGTCTGACGTCTTTACGATTCTGAGCCGATTAAGATTTTTCCAAGCGTTCGTGAAAACCCATTAAATTTAGATTTTCTACATCATAATGATTATTTAGATCCTAGATTTCTCATGTTAGAATGTTCGTATTAAATACTATTGCAAATTCTCCTAAAATCGGATCGGACTCGGATCGTTTTATTGTGCGATGGGTTTTATTCAAATACGCACAAAGATATGAATTAGGTGGATCGTTTTGTTCTGAATATGGTTCACTATTATTCTTTGGTACAATGGCAGAGAAAGAAAATGTCTCGATCCATCGATACCTCTTATGTGGGCCTACTTGTCATACATATTTCTACTTATACATATTTTATTCATTTATTTATTCATATTTAGGCATTCATCCGATCATTCATGAAATCATTTATTCATTCATTCATTCATGTATTAATATACGAAAGATTGATCGGCAGCACAGGGTGAAACAGTACACAAAGAAATATACCCCAAAATTTAATACTTTCCGAAGCCCTTGAACTATTTCCTCTCCAATTATATTCTTTCTCTTACATGTACATATTTGTATGGCTAGTTTTATTTTAACATTGGTCCTCACGACCTTATAGCTAGCAGAGGGGAGATAGTTGTGGCACGTGCACCCATGTAATTCACGAAGCCCCAAACAGTTCCCTCCTACATACATTCTCTATTGTATGAAAACTATTTGGATCTAGCTCCATGAATTTGACCGATAAAGAACGAGCGTGCGCGTGTCACAACTATAATATGTCACAACATTAACAAATCCCTCTCTATACGCTTTGCGTAGCCGCATCATGTAGGCACCTCTCTTGCAATAGCCTATAAGCGTTAGTTTTGGCGATAGTGGAAAATTATTATTGGTTATCACTGCCTACCTGCACATAATCTTCCAGAGCTCCCAGTAGAGTCTACATATCCCGAGAGACAAACACAGTTATATCCACCGACTGTGTTCGTGCATCGAGCGAACAGAGAGCATTCATTTAAGGATGAATTAATGCATTCGTCGATATCTAAATGTATAAAGAACGTGATATTAAAGACTTTCAAAACTCAACAAAGTTTTTTTTTCAATAGCTCATGCATTACCTTCTTAAAATAATAATATGTCTATTTATATAGCGCAACTACTATCTGAATAAACTCTGTTGCACTTGATACATGGTTTCATATTATTACCTCGGCTGCAGCTGAGCCGCCAGGAAAAGGCGCTAAAGCATTCAAGGAAATTCATCCTACCGGGTACCTATTTACTTCACCTGGGTAGAGAGTTACAAATGTAGATTAATGTCTTTCCAAAGGACATTAGTGCTGAGACTCGACTCGAGAACCATGTGATCCACAGTCCGGTGGTGCGTTTACTACACCAGGGCCCCGTCTTACAAAGAGTTGATATCAATCGTAAGTTATTTGCGATTGATATCAATCGTAACTATGTACATAAGAGATAGGAGACTGCAAACTTGCGATTGATTGGAGGACTTACGATTGATTTGGATCAATCGTAACTCTTTGTAAGACGGGGCCCAGGACACCTACTACGTGGAATAAAAACTACATTACATAATATTATAAATGATAAAAACAATCATAAAATAAGCAGGGCATATGTTGGGAGAAATAGCGAAGGAGTAAGGCCTATCCAATGCCAACCCCAGCGAGAATGGAGTAGAAAATATAAATCTAGTATCAAGCAAAAACAAAAATGACAAAACAAAACAATGTAGATAGTCAGTGGAGATATATCTTTAGCCAAGTTAGCTTCTGAATCTTTAAATCTGCACCAGTATCTTACCACTACAGACCGTTCCTTGCCCATCTGTCGGATCCCCCTGATCTCCAAAGCCAGGCAAACAGGAGCACTGGTAGGAACCAATCGTGTTGTTGCAAGTAGAATAGACAGAGCAAGCGGAGTATTCCATTTCATCGCATTCATCCAAATCTGAGACAGGAAGATGGGTTTTCTATATGTCATTGGACCGTTTATTAAATAACTCTTTAAAAAACAGAATCGCAAAGACATACGAAAAATCAACCTCGGGTAATTTCATTACAATGACGTATTGTCTAGTCCGGACATAACTTCTAAAGGCCAAACAATAGGGTATATTTGGAAAGTTACCCTTGGATTGATGTGTTCAACAATCATGGAAAAGAGTTGTACATTGTGAAAAAGTAGGAAAAATATTAGGACCTACATCAATGAAAACCGGTTTTCACTATCTACAGGTTTCATTTTCATAATTCTGCTTTAACTCCTAACTAATAACATACGTAACCAAGAAATAATGCCCCCAAAAGCAGAATATTGATCGTGATTTCGAACCCGAAACCTTCAAGTTTCCAGACTCACTAACCACAGAGCCCTGGCCCATCGCTTACCTTGAACAACGATAGAGCTAACATTCACGGTGTAAGATGTGTATCCAGACGACAGATCTTTGGCGGCGAAATAGACATCATCCGTCATAAGATCATAAATCATGACGTCATCCGGTGTAGTGCCTGCATCGAGAACGATGTCTATCTCTACTCCGAGACTTCCATTGAAGGACTTGATTTCGACACTGAATACGGAGTCAACGAAGATCTCCCATCTTGATAACCGGTGAAAAATCTGAAGGAAGTAAGCGGCAAATAATGAGCATTCCATTCATGGCATTTTTAATAGTATACAAATATAAACTGTCTTGAGAGGTTCTGGTTAAAACTATGAGCAAGAGGTGACTCCAATAGTACTATTTCAGTCACCGACTCGGAGGCCCATAGTTTTAACCAGTACGTCGAAAAAAGAGCATGGTATATTTGTTTTATATCCTGCATCCAAATGTGTTGTTTTTCAAATCAAAAATTTATCAACTCCCAAATAGTACTTTTTCAGAGCAACCTGATAATAGTTGAAATATATCTGCTCTCAACCAATCAAAAGCCAATACAATTTTGATGCAGCATTTTCATAGTTGATTTTATCATTATCTATTATGATTCAGTTTTGTCATGTTACTTGACTCCATTACCATACAATGCCTACAATTATCATTAATTATTAACTGTTTTTCTTTTGTGTAATCTTATACTCAGTTAAAGATACTATGTCCCGTCTTGGTAAGTGTAGACTTAATTATTACAATTACTCGATAAATAGGCATGATACGGGCCTTTGCGACAATTGTCACATTTTCAAAACTACCAAACATTTTATGTTATCATGCCCTAAATATGAAAGACAGAGGAACCGTATGTATCGCAAACTTCATGTGACGAATCCTAACCTAAAAAATCTACTTGGAAAAGCAGAAAACTTCTCAATCATTTTAGCCTTTATAAAAGGTACTGGAAGATATAGAGAATTATAAAGTGTATTATAGCATTGTGTTATCATTCTTGTGCTTTTCATGCCTTAAGGCATAAAAGTAACAGAATGACGGAGGAGATGATGGACATACGAAGCCTGAATAAATGATTGCAGCCGATTATTAAATGCGCATACTATTAAACATAACACACATTATTTATCATTAACTCTATAAATTGACACCGAAACTTCATGATATTAATTCCAACCAGCTCTAACATTAAATGACTAACAAAAAATGAGTAACGAGCACATTAATCCCCCATAACCTTGCACTTCGCCAATAACATAGGCCAAGGTAAATCTTTATCTCACACACCGGGCAAGTATCAGAATCACAAAAACGTAGAGCAGCAGAAGTGAGAGCAAGACGCCCTCACGCACAGCCTGGCGGAAATCATCGGAATCGATGGATAGCGCCGATAAACCCAACAACAACAACAACAAAATCTTTTGCAGCCAACCTCAAATTCTGTAGAACTTTGCAGGAATTATAAATATGTCATGTATATCCTATCTGTGAAATTTAAACCTTAGTAGTGTCCTTATATTCAAATTATGCAAGGAAACCCGTTTACTTGCTAGACTTCACTGTCAGACACTATTGTCAGTATTGATTGACTGACTGGCTTTTTCTTCTTTGGTAATAACATACATAACATGAGCTGTAAAGGATTTGTCTACTACAATAACTCACTTCTTGTAATGGCCAAAATTAAACTGATTGAATCTTTGCGCAGCATAAAACGTACGACTATGCGGTACAATGGTCTGAAAATCAAGACTATTACTTATTGGCTCTATAGCTCCTAAGTCGATTTGTCAACTAATAGTCGTTTTTTTCCCACTTTAAGACATTTTCAAGCCCCATTTTTTTAAGGGGAGTTCTAAATTAGTATTATCTTTCAAATGCCATTGGAATTTAACCTTTTCATTTTTTTTTGCCTGCAAAAGGGACATAGTACCTTTTCCAATGTTTATGTTTAACTTGTTTTTGTACTTGATTTTTATCATTATCTAAACCATGCATATATTGTGTTAAATGTGTAATAAGAGGTAAAGCACCGCATTGGGAAGGCAATAGGAGCATTCCAAGCACTCAAGAAAATCTGGACATCAAACTATATACGCTGCTCAACAAAGGTAGAACTGTACAAAGTCCTGGTGTTGTCTATTCTGTAATATGGTGCAAAAACATGGACATTAAAGAAGGTCGATGAAAATAGACTTTACACTTTTGAGATGGCATATGTCACAGGAGAATCATGGATGTGACCAGACTTGACAGGATGAGAAACACACAAATACGAACACAACTGAACATGGAAGAAACCATCATCGACAGGGTTGCCACAAAAAGATTGAGATACTTTGGACATATCAACAGAATGAATTTAAAAAGATATCCCCACATCCTTCTCAACGGAAATGTACATGGCAAACGCCCAAGGGGTAGACCAGCTAAGAGATGGACAGACTGCATCAAGGCGGACTGTAACAACAGACAAGTTGACTCCCTGATTAAAGCCACTAGGTTAACAGAAGACAGGAAGGAGTGGCAAGCCATAGTGAAACAGAAGCCATCATACATCCCAGTGATGGTGTGGACGGCTTAAGTCAAGTAAGTCAAGTTTAATAATCCGATATTGTACAGGTCTAATTGTAATTCATGTATATTTTCATGCGCTGTTTTTTATAATCAGGGCTCTGTGGAAGACCAGGTTTTTATTTTTTGTATACTGAACAGACTACTATTATTGTCATTTTCGCATATTTCAAAAAGTGAGGCCCACGTCCTTGCGATCGTGCGCTTTGCTTTCTAAGTACTGTCATCAAACTTTGAAATAGTATGTCTAAATCTTCAACCGGGAAGTAAAATTAGTATCGACATTTATTTGCATTCGATCTCTATCCGCATTTAAAGGCATCGTTTAACAATATTAAATCTGAGATGCATGGTTCTAAGTGTTATTGATGTCTGTGATATGGTATAATATTGAAGCCCTAAAAAAGGTTGTGCGTCAAAATGATCACAAAGTGCCTCAAAAGTAAAACTCTTTGAGTGACCGGTTTTACCATAATCATTCTCCCCTAAAGACTGTAGTGTTATAATAGCCGTTACGAAAAAGAAAAATGAAATTTCGATTTCCAGTCATAAATATCTTGATTATCAGACAGGCGATCGGCTTGTAAAAGCCATGGGATTCCTGACTAATTATGATTGCAGCATGAGCTAAATGCAGGATTTCGTTCCAGATTCTGAGGCAATGTTACCGAGTCACTTTAAATGCCGATTAAACGAATATTCAAACAACATATTTACTTTTAATGGTAAAAAGCATCTACATGCCTGGTAACCAGTAGATGAAACTGCATATTTCTTTGAACACTTTAATTCTGCCTTTCCAAAAATAATGCATAATAGTTAATACCATAAATGCAGCGTTTGGAAGTGGCGGATTTCTGTTTAAGCTATGTTTGTGTGTATGTGTAGTGGCGGTTATTTTACCCGACTGCTAAGAAAGCACAATGCTTGTTATTAAGCAACCATAAGACCCGATGGCTTTAGGTCCACTCCGAGAGACCTGGTAGGTGGGATTAATGCCTAATACCAAGGGGCACTAGCGCATCGCCTTGGTTCCGAACCCGGGTCGCCGGATTACGACACCACTGCTCTACCAACTGAGCTATCTCGCCTCCTAAATGTAAAGCGTTAGTCCTCTGACTGATTGATTTTTTTTATTTTGTTGAAGTAAAATGTCATAAGATGGATGTTTTCATACCGCATACTCTAGTTCTCCTCTGATTATTTCATCACTTGATTTGAAAGTGTCAGGGTATATTGCAAGTGAACCGTTGACCTCTGTAATTTGAAACCACATTTTGAATCGTCTCGGAACTGGAAGAAAAAAGATCATTAATTGCAATATATTAAAAGTAACAGCAACAACATGAACAATAATAATAATAATAATAATCATAATAATCAGAATGGTATAATAATGGAAATAATCATAATAATACTAATGTAAAGGTTACACATGAAGCCTGTCATGGCAAACCTTCGACTAAGAATTGAGGACATGCAAAAGGTCTATTGAATAACCCTTCCTTTGTTTCAATGTCACCTTGTCCGACTTCATGAGAATCCTAAATTTCAACGATATAATTTTTATATTTATATGCGTTGGTGTAGGTATTTTTACACCTATGGTGATAATTATGATATAACACCAAAGCCGAGTAGCTATATAATTCCAACAGGCATTATATAATTGTCTACCTATCAAATGAAGTTGTATTTTCATTTGATCATACTTACTTTGACAACCTTCTTCTGTTCTGATCCGACCGTGTCCACAGCTGCACAGCCCATCTTTGCAAACCTCATTCTTTGCACATTGGTCTGATGTGGAACAAATGGTTTTACCTGCGATTAGAAAAGAAAATCAGTTCCAGTGTCTTCTCTTCGTGTCAATGGAGTCCAAAATATAAAGGTCTATTAAAATTCGTTGAAGACATTGATATAACTACTACCTGATTGCTCTTAATAATATCTTAACCCATTGCTTACTGGAACCTGGTGGTCCCTGTGTTAAGCCTATGGGAATAAAATAATTCAGTAGTCAACGGGTTAAGCATTCGAGGAATCAACCTTACTGGTATCCGCTCACTTCACCTCGGCGGAGAGTGGCATATGTGGATTAATGTATTGCCAGAGAATATTAGAGTCTTTGCAGGGATTTGAACCACGTATTACTAGCCACATGGTCCGGTGATTTATCCTCTATACCTAGACACTCCCACTGCTAGTCTTTACATGCATCAATGCATCAAACTTTGGTTTTTCTGCTCTCTTCAACGTACCGTAATCGCAGTGGCGCCCTGCATATTCTGCGGTGCATGTACAGAAATAGCCCGTTATTATGTCCGAGCAAGTCGCTCCATTGTTGCAAGGGTCATTGTCACATTCGTTGATTTCTGTGGGGGTAATAGGACAGTTTATCATGTCACAAAGGTTTATCAAATATTTACTTGTTTTTATGCAATTATACCTCTTAATTTATGAAGATGTTATCTGTTGGACAGATCAGGTGATAATTATATCACACAACGTGAAAAGAGTTTTTTTTAATTAGAGATAAGGTTCTGTTCATATTCCATTAAACTGTGAAGAAGAAATTATATCTTTTAGTTAATGAAGATTAATATTAAACTTTAATTTGCCATGTTACTAGTTAGCACATCAGGTGCCCGGTAAAAGGTCGCGTAGCGTGGGCGCTGTAAACAAAAAAAGGGGGAACCGAAAAAACGCTTTTGAAGTTTTAACACCTACTTAAAGTGCTAAAAACGACAATGTGTCCATGTTCCATGTAGCCAAAACTATTCTTAGAGAAAGATATTTACCTTATTTATTTTTTTCTCAAATTGCATTACGTTTTGCTGGAAACAAAAAAGCCCGAACGCGCAATTTAACTCCCGGCAAAAGGTAGTGTAGCGCTACGCGAGGTTTTGCCGGGCAGCGTAATTTTTTTCCCCACTTGAGCTTTCCTAAAAACTTTTTTTGTTGTCGGTACTTTCCTAAAAACTTTGTGCAATATATTTAACTTATTACCATGTGGATATTGTAAATCGATCATTTACTTCTAATGAACAAACTTCTTTTATCATTTCAAAGTTGAGTTTTTAATTTGAAATGTAATCTTTTGCAATTTCGCATCTTGTCTTTAGATGTTTACAATGGTTTTAAAATAATCGCTAAACTCCTGATGTAATTTGAACAACCCATTTTTCTGAAACTCACATTTGAACTCTTTGGTTTTCTGTTTATATATTTTATATTTTATTTTTAATTTATGCCAATCTATGTTTATTGTAATTGATATGTATAACTTTGTAATTTTGCGTGTTTTTATCTGTGAACTGTATCGCAATCCAGCCTTTTACGGCTGCGAAGATATTTTTTAATAAACCTTGAATTGGACTTGAATTGAGGTCCCTTATTAGAAAGGAAAAGGGGCACGTATCATTGTCAAAATGGAAATTATCAAAGGTGAAAACGGGGCACTTCGTACATCCTCAAAAAGAGGCACTAACCAGGGAGGAAAAGTCAGTCATGAAATAGAAAATGGGTCTTTGTCGACGGAAAAAGGGCCACATCAGATTTTGATAGGGGCATTTATAAGAGGTGAAAAGGGGCATTTATAAAAAGTGAATAAGTTCCTTATTAGAAAGGAAAAGGTGCACGTATCATTGTTAAAAGGAAACTTATCAGAGGTGAAAAGAGGCACTTATCGCACCTGAAAAGGGGCAATGACCAGATATGAAATGGGGCACTTAAAATAAAGGAAAATGTGCATTAGTTGAAATAAACTGGGCAATGACCAGATATTAAAGGGGCATTTATTGAGGTGAGGGGGGTACTTATCTGAAGTGAAAAGGAGTAACTTCTCGTACCTGAAATGGGTCATTTACCAGAGAAGGCGCACTTATGAGAAGGGGAGGGGCTCTTTTTTAATTGGGAACTTATCATTAGGACAAGGGGCACATGTGAAAATATAATTATAAAATATATAATTATTAAAAGGGGAAGGGGCACTTCTTACAAAGGAAAAGGGGAACTTGTCAAAGTTAAAGAGGCACCTCTCAGATTTGAATAGGGCAATTATCAGAGGTGAAGGGGGCACTTATCAAAAGTGAAAAGAGGCACTTCACATACCTGAAAAGGGGCACTTTTACAAATTAATAGGGCACTTGTCAAAGTAAAAGGGGCACTATTCCTATGTCAAAAGGGGCACTTCTTACTAAGTTAAAGTGGCACTTTTCGAGTGCATGAAAAAGTGGGGGCACTGTGCCCCCCCCCCTGCCCCCTGGAGGGCCGACTCTGCACAGCGTGAATTTAAAAAATATATATATAAATTAGAGATAAGGTTCTGATCATGCCATTAAATTGCGAAGAAGAAATAACTGAAAGAAAAAGTTGATAATGTAGCCCTTTGAATTGGTGTGTACAGTGAAGTGAAGTCAAATATAAAGGATCCGATTTGGAACAACTTTCAAGATTCACTCAAAGAATGTCCAACATTATCTAGTTTTAAGCACATTTAAACCAAAACAAATAACAAGTTACAATATACTTATTTAGCTTTGATTAATTCTGTCTGTCCTGTGTAGTATGTCTCAGTAAATGTAATGTCTTCATTGTCAATATTTGCATTAATGACAATTTTACTTATGGGTTTGTAGAAAAAGGGGACCAGCCTTTGCCTTTGCTAGTCCCTCACATCCCTACTCTACCATTAATTATTGTTAGTGTTACTGTTGTTGTATTTGTTCTTATATCATGACATATTTTATATATATTGCATTTTATATTATTGTATTTGAATTTTATATTAATGAAAATTTGTAAATGATGTAAATCTTTTGGAAATATTTTTCTATGATATTGTTTCACTCAACTATAAAAAGAATGAAAAAGCTCGCAAATTCTTGTTCACCTTCCCCAATATCTACCTTCTCTTAATCATCCAAGTTGGAAACATCATTTACATCAGCCAGGCTCTATCAATCTCTGTGGGGCACTTTAATTCTTCCTCACGATGTATAGTAGGCCTATAACAGTTGCCATTAAAAAATCTATATTATCATAGGAAAACTTAAAGGTATAGACCAGTTTTGGAAACGCCCCCCCCCCCCTCTCAAAAGATGAAATGGAAGCTCTTATTACCAATCAGGTGATAGAATATCTTTTGACTAATACGTGATGATATAAATTTTGCCGGGAAACCGACTACTAATCGATATATTTGGTAAATTATTATATCAATCTGGACCGGATAGATATCGCGCACGTGTCGCGTAGTCCCATATACATCTTTCTATGTACAGTGCTTGTAACTTTACCCAGACTGGGCCAAATTTCTTATCATTTTGATGATTCAAGAACCTTGCAGTACACACTAATACTTATAAGCTAGATGATCAACCTATTCTGGTCGATTCCACAACGTTTTTTGACATTCCGATCGCATGACCAGAACTGGTATTTACCTTTAACCTTTTTTTAAATGTAATTCGTCGAATAGTCTCATACAAAATACTTCTGCTTCGCTGCCTAATATCTATTGCATATGATGCCCGGCTGTATTTAGGCGTGAAACGTTTTTGAATAAAATCTCCCTTTTTTTTCCCTGTCCAATTATGAAGAATAAACTCAAATTAAATTAAATCAGATCAAATCAAATCAAAATTTTGAGGGTGCATCGCCTGCAAGATAAACAAACTTTTTCTCGAGCAAAAATCTTAATAATATTTTTTGTGTTTTTAACTAACCTTTGTCACATGTTTGTCGCCTGTAATCATTGGTTTGTAGTCTACTCCGAGGCTATATATAGAAGGCAGTCACAGATAAGAAAAGCAAATACCCAATTATATATAATTTAAAAAAGTGTGTACACAAAAAAATGCGCTGCAAGGAAAACTTTCAACACGATTGCAGACACTTCCAAACTTCAACCTTAGGCATTTTCAATAGCCTTATACATCACATATTGAAATGTGAAATATTACGTAATCTGAGTATTTCTCTTGATATTATAATAGGGTATAGAGATTGCCCTTAAGTGGGTTTCTTGAAAGTATTTCTAATCATGTTATACTATCCCTTCATACTTTGCCTCTCGATATTTAAGATATGAAATATATAACAAATAATCGAATAATCGAATACAGAGTGTTATGTTCCCAAATGCGCATCTTTCTATATTTTGGTGACAGCATCTTTCAACAATGTAAATATTTCTTACAAATATTTTAGACTTTGGAAATCTTTGTCTATGTTTTACTTTATTGTAAGTGAAATAAACACTTATAGCTTAGGCAGATACCGAGATGTGATTGGTCCAGAGCTCGTCACGTCATATTGATTGCGAGGATCATAATTGTTATATTTTCCTGGCCGGTCACATTGACCAGCTGGTGAAATGAATATATTTTTAATAAATGCATGTCGCCCTCTTAAGGACTGAATGTATTTTTTTCTCGATTTTTTTTCTCCCTCGGAATCTTTTTTTTCGTCAATTTTTTTCTTCTCTGTTTTTGTTTTACATTTGTTTTTTTCGAAAATAAATGGAAAACAATTTCGGGCAAAAAAAAAGGACCCCCCAAAAAAATTAATATTCAAAGCAAAGGCTATCTAATATAACATATATTGACTGGCAGAGGGTATATAACATTCTTCGGACCTGAAGGGAGTTATATTTTTCCTCGTGACCATATTATAACTATAAATATATAGCCACTTGGGAAAATATAACTCCCTTCAGCGGTCAAAAGAATGTTTTATATACCCCTCTTTAGAAATCTAGCCCTCTGATTGGACAACATTGCAGTCGTTATTTTAGACATTTCCGCCTACCAGTCAATAGTCTTTTGAAAAGTGCCCTCATACCCGCCTACCGGTCATTAGCCCTTTTAAAGATGCCCGTTGCCCCGGGTAACAGGCCGCATAAATGAATTGTGCTCAGATCCCCATTGGTTTACGTGTTAAAAACTTCTCTGTGCGAGCGCGGACACCATACAGTGATTTTTGTCTGCGATTCCCAAATGATTGAAACTTTCAGTCATTTTTGCAGCGAAGATAAACAGACAGTTTCTCAGATTTTCCGTGATGTTTTAACCAATCTTTACTCAATTAAAGGATAAGGTAAGAACTCTTGGTAGATTTTTGTTTCAATTCGGCAAATAAAAAAAGTATCGACAGCTTTAATATTCGAGGTCTGGCTGTACCCAGGCGCGCCGAGGGGTCATGACAGGATGTGCGCACGTTTCCGAGAGCCTGTAAAAACAGCCAGGCCTCTCAAAGCAGTCGATATCTTTATACTAGTACACCCCCTGCCAGTCAATATCTGTATAATATTTTATATTACAATGTAATGTGACTGTGTCATGACCTGGGATTGAAAAGTTTACTTCTTCTTTCTTGTTGTTACTACTATGATTTTGAATTTAGAGGAGTCATATACTTGTCCATAAGCATAACCAATGAAGTCTCAATTCTCCCGCTTTGAAACATATCAATTATTTGGTTTGTAAGTTGGTAAACAAAGAGATAACATTTGGTTCAACTTACGAAAATTGTTGGGCAATGATCATGGAACATAGACACACCACCAACACTAGATATATCCGTCTCGTTGAAGCCAGGAAGAGAATCAAAATACTGAAGTAGAATAAAATAATTTAGAAAACAGAAGCATTATGATTATTCCTTTTTGCCATTTCAAATGTATTATTTTCCGCATGATTGATGGATCATTCGGAAGTCTTATACTGATACAACATTATGATTTAATATTCCAAATCGTAACACGATATGAGAAAGATCAAACCGTCACACTCTGTTACTTACCTTGATCACCGAGACACCAATACACATTTGATTTCATTCATTGGAATAATGCATTATCATCTTTTTTTTTAATCTGTTTTCATTTTAAGCCAATAACTGGACAACTAACAGATATAGTGTTATCATATACAGTAATAATAACAATTATAACAACAACAGCGAATATTAATACTGCTCTTCCTGCGGGCCCTGCAACTAGTATAGGATTTCCCGGCGAAATTCGCGAGTTTGTCATTCGAATTCATTTACTTTGCATTTAAGTTAGCGCAGATCGGCTTTGCCATGCTAATTATCATTCAATTTTCCCGTTTTGGTATTCAATTTAGAATTTTGGTCGAAGGTTTTCATAGATCTGTCATTTAATTCAAAAAACTGCTCAACTAGCATTCAAATTAATCGTCACTTGTCGAGGCGTCTTTTTTATCATTCAAATTAACACCTGTCATTCGTATTCGAATTATGTTTATTCAAGTTAGGAATGTTAGGGGGAAGAAATACAACCCACGTTTATACAGTTTTAAAAAAATGCCATTAAATGCATGATTTTCCATTAGGGTCTTTTCTGTTATTCCATTTATTAATTTTGAGGACAATGCATATGGGTGTAGTCAGATATTAGGTAAAGAAGGGGCGAAATCAAGGGATATGGCATTTCTGCACGGACATGTTCATATACCCCGGAAAAGTGGGAACACAAAAATACTTACCCCAGTCACAATATTGTACCATTCCTCCATAATGAAATCGTGATTATTTTATGATGAAAAACAAGACAAACATCTTCCATACATGACAATTTACAAAAATATTGAGACCATCAAGTCCGTAGATGTAAGACTTTTTTTTCCTTAACAATCAAACTTAAAGGATGATGAATATCAGATAAATCTAAAAGTATATAAAGTGTATAAATGCGAGAAAATAAAATATGGTGAAATACACATGGAAAAAACAATCTTAAAAGAAAAAAAATGAACTAAATGTATATTGACCATCAATTTAGGTGCACAAAGTGCTAATTGGAATGCTACAAATGAATTCGAATGCTAAAAGTACACCTTCGCGATGCACTGTTAGAAAAAAATTAAACAAGTTGTTTAAAATTTTAAACAACCCCGAGTTAACCGGTGAATCGCTCAACGTTGTTTAAAAATTAAACAAATTAAGGTTGTTTACATTTTGAACACTTAGTTGTTTAAAAATTAGGAAACCTTTTAAACAACAGTTGTTTAGTAATAAAATTGCACAACTCGGTTGTTTAAAGCAAGTTGTTTAAATTTTAAACAATAATGTTTAAATTACTAAGCAACTGTTGTTTATTCAGTATTACTGCACAACTGGGTTGTTTAAAAGGAGTTGCTTAAATTTTAAACAGAACTGTTTAATGGTTATTATCTGGTTGTTTGAATTTGTGAAATGACCTACTGGAACCACTCCTGCAATAATCACAACGATTTATACACTGCAACATGCAGAGCTTGTTGCCAATTTACTTCAACATTTGTTCATCATATTCATGGCAGTGACAGACAACATTATTATTTGTCTCTATAACTTCACCTAAACCCCATCGGCGAAGCCGAGAAGAACCAAGTCGTCGCCTTGCCCTTGTTCCGCCATTTTCGTCTGCACTGCACTGCACTAGCACTTGCACTGCACACACTAGCACTGCATGCTTGCATGTATTTTGTACGTACTTTGTGCATATCGCATGTGTGTGCGCAAATAGCAATCGCGTATCGAGAAAATATCAACGACGCCCCCGGGACTTTTTAAACAACTCTGTTTAATTAAATATTTTTGTCTTTTAATACATAGTTGTTTAAGTCAATCGAGCACTGATTTTTCGATTTTGAACAACGTTGTTTACTTTTTTAAACAACATTATTTTAAACAGTGATATTTTAAACGCCGTTCTAACAGTGTGTCAGAAATCGTTTTGCGCCAAATCGAATGACCAAATAGCGAAAGAAGCACATTATTCATTAATTTGAATAAAACATACATAGATTCTAACGAAAACTTCATAGATTTGAAACTAGAAAAAGGAGTATAAACCCAAGGTATATCTGACAGCACTAAAACCGTCGAATTTGAACGCAAGACAAATTAATTTAAATGACAAACTCGCGAATTTGGCCGAAAAATCCTTAACCCAGGAATTGCCAGGTACCCATTTACACCTGCGTGGAGAGTTGACATATGGATTAATGTCTTGTCAAATGAATTAAGTGCCGGGCTGGGTTCCGAACACTCAACCCTCATACAAATTAAAATCTTCTCCGACGTTGAACTCTAAATCCTTGTCGGCACCTGATATTGATCCGGCAGTGGTTCATCGTGCTTTATGTTAGAACAGAAGGCAGCATTGCCTTCCACGTCACAGAGCAGTTCACGGGGTTTCTCGCAGTACGGGCTTAGAGACAACCCTCTTCATGACAGACCACGAAAAAGAAAGTAAAAAGAAATCCAATGACTAGCAATAAATAAATGAAAACAAGAAGTGTTCAATATATTGAAGGGCCTGTAATCTCTGTAAAAAAATCTCTTCAGTTTCTCAGTTTTGTTCACAAGAAGTATAATACTAATCAAAAGGTATTTTGGATTAAGTACGAATATATCTAAATTGCTCTGGTTTGCTTGTAGTTACATGTACATATATAACTAGGTTGAATTTGAATTCAGTATACGAAGAGGCCCAATAAAAAAAAGCTGGTTGCTTGACATTAGTATGAAGTAATATATTCGACATTGTTGTGTGTATCGATATGTTTCTCTATATTTCTCACAAAATACCACATTAAACTTTATAAGTATTATTTATCAGTCGCCTCTCGTTCTTGTATTGGTTTCCTACTCAAGTTTCTTCCCCCGTTTTGTCACCTGTTTCTCTGAGTGTCCATCCACCATTTACAACTCTTGTTGACAAAGCCACACCCGAGGTCACGACCCCAAGTGAATGGGTCAGCGAGGTCATAGTTCGCCTTATACCATCCGGTATCTTCGAGGAATGCCAAAGTGAAACGAGAGAATTTTCGCCCATTAGTGACATACGGCCCCATTGACTCGGTCTAGCAAACAAAAGGTAAACAGTAAGTGCTAGTTATTACTTTAACCTTTACCCTTTATCATTAAGCTGATTAAGTTGGGCAGAGACACCATAACAAAGGTGCCCATGGAGGTTTTGCAGCACGGGGGTTGGCAGAACATAGGTTTGTCTAAACCTAGCGGTATCGGAACATACGGGTGTCGGTCTTGGAACCTACATGTAGGAGTGTCGAACATGAGGGTATTGAAACATAGGGGAAACGGGACACAGGAGTAACGGAACTTAGAAATGTCGGATTGGCGGAACTGACAGGGAATGTCAATTTCAGAAAATAGGGGTCTCGGGACATGGTGCAAAAATGTAACAGATACAAAAGCTGTAACATCTTCAACATTTTGATCGAAATTTAGATTATCATCATTTAATGTAATACGTAATTTTACAGTTGAAAACGAAAAATGACATCTAAACAATCCTACCGGCATCAATCGGGACTCAAAATGACTGAGAGCACTTCCAGATGAAAACCTTCCATAATCGTCCTCCAGTTCGACTCCCTCAATGGTATCACATCCGTAGTATTCACGAGCTTCTTTCTACAATGATGAAAACATATCTATATCTTTGATCCTTTGATCTGAGCAGCACTTGTGTGTGTTTGTACGTGTATATATCCACGTGTTTATGCATATATCATTTAGTTCATATATACGTATATGAAGAGTTTCATTACAAAAGGAACTAAATCCACTTTGGATACTTCTGAGTAAATCGCCTTTTTTATTTCTCCACTTTCCCTTTAGCCATGTACCTTCATGTTCATATATATGTTAATGATGTCACCCTGGACTAATAATATATGATTAGAAAAAATCTACCAGATATTTCTGATTGTTACCATGTCTAATTAATGACTAATTTTTTTCATTGCACATGTCCGTCTAATGACGCCGTAAGGTAAATATGTATATATATATATATATATATATATATATATATAGGCGTGAAGAAAATGGTCTAGGAACACCCGTTGTCATGTCAGAGTTGAGAATTCTCGCACTTTTATATACATATGTGTGTGTGTGTGTGTATGTATGTGCGGGTGTGTGTGTGCGTGTGTGTGTGTGTGTGTGTGAGTATGTGTGTGGGTGGGTGAGTGTGTTTGTGTGATGGAGGGGGCAGGGAGGGGCAGGGAGGGGGCAGGATTGTTCCAGTTTTTTGTAATATATATTAGTGAATAACATTTACAATTGACATACTTTGTTGCTAAGTTATATTTTCTGCAAATAAATTTGTGCTTAATTATGTTTATGTAAAAGCATCAATATTGAACACGTTTATTTTATTCAATTGTATGTTATGGTTTGTATTACACATTTGGAGAAATAAAACAAAATTTAAAAAAAAAAAAAAAAGTGTGTGTGCGTGTGTGTGGCGGTGTGTTTGTGTGTGTATACTGCGCAGATTAAAGATAATACTCATCACACAATCATTGTAAACCTAATTTCATTGTCTTTTATATGATGATTATGTAGTAAATAGGAACATCAATGTGTAATGTGGTATTTGAAGCAACTTAATCGAAACAAATTGACAAAATCTTAATAAAGAAAAATGTACATTTCTTAGAGAAAGGCGTCTTTAAACATACATCCAATCATGATGTCTAAGGAACAATTATAGGTGAATATTTTCTTCGGATGAAATGGAAATAAAGGATGGCGGTTATCATCTCAATCATCAGCAGCACCATCATCATATCATATTCATAATGATAATTATCAACATAATCATTATTATGATCATCAGTATGAATACCACCATCATCACCGTCAACAACATCAACATCACCATCAACATTATCAACAACGTCATTATAAATACCACTCACATCAATTATAGATATTATTATTATCCTCCTTTCCCTCCTCCTCCTGCTTATCCTCATCCTCATTCTTATGACAGAGATCCTAATCGTCTTCTTAGCCGTCTTCGTAATCAGAATGACAGTATTTCTGTGATAATTTGGAGTATGATTTTGTTTAAACTTACCACAAGGTTAGGTGTTACCATGATCGTCACGTTTCGTTCTATTTGACCCCCACGGATATCCCAATCTAGGGTTTGGGTTCGAGCTACACGGTCACTCCATTGAAGGTATCCCACACTGTAAAAAGTATGCAAAAAGGTATTATCAAATGAAGCAATTTTATTTCAGCCATGATGTGATACATACTATCATCAAACTTGAATTTCTCGAGCGGTTCTAAAGATATCGTGTTAACGAGAAAGTGGGACGGACAACCCGAACATACAATGCCTCCGGTAGATACAATTTTTAAAAATGACGCCATTGTGTCGGGGGAGTGGTCGAAGGGGATCATACCTCTTCCTGTTTTACTATGCAATGATGTTCGAATTTTCTTTTCTTCAAAAAAGGGAATACATGCGTACTCATTGGTTGGAACCTATATGTGTTTTGTCTTGCTCTTTCAACAAAATCCGCTAAAAGTCTCACCCCCCCCCTTTTTCAAAACGGAATTCCTATCATGTTCACACGTACACAAGTTCAACATTATAGTGCCACTTACTCTAAACCAACTAACATAGCCTTTTAAAACATGAATACACCTCTACTTATTAATATTCCAGCCTTTGATTTCTCAGAAAATCTCGAAATTGATCAACAAATGATAATTACCATCCATTTTCCACAGATCTCACGCTTGTTGGGATACGCCCTTCGAAAACAGATAATACGGTCACGTGGCTTGATGACGCATTTGACGTCATTGCGGGCATGTCCGATTTGATAATTTCATAATTTCATAATTAGGAATGACAAAATTGCCAGAAACGTACTGGGATTATCAAGTGCATATAATATTTCGGATAAATGTCTTCTTTTTTTAAAAATAAATATCATAGTTTGCCTTTTTAAAGACGTTTTAATGTCTAAATCACTCTCCTTTTCACTGGAGAGGCTCCTGCAGTGACGTCATATTCTATTGCGCAATACAGCTCCGAAACTGGGCTTTTTTTTCTGAGCGTTCTGAGTTGTCATTTTTAAAGCTAATTCAAGAATTATTGATGATTTCTAAGAAACATGTACGGAATCTCCGTCAAAAATTATTCTACAATTTGTTTTCGTTTTTAGCCCGTTTTGGTTCGAGTGGCCCTTTAAGCTAAGCCACAGACAGACAAACTGGCAGACTGTTTTTTTTAAATAATAAATTTGGACATATTTAAAGAACGTATTCTTGTTGACGTTACCTGCTAAATTCAGTGGGGAAGCCATCGTCCCCAAGGGGGGTCAAGGGGTCCCCATTTTGATCCCGGAAAAGAGCATACAAGCCTGGTGAGATACCCTGTAAGAATACGAAACGAAACAATGTTTAAGTGGAGTTCTGGTCGTGCGATTGCATTGTGAAAGAAACTATGTGGGATCGATTCGAAAGAGGTTGACCATTTAGCATATAAGTATTCGGTGTGTATTGCAAGGTTCTGGAATCATAAAAATGATAAGAAATTTGGCCCAGTCTTGGTAGAGCTACAAGCAATGTACACTGAAATATGAACATGGGACTTCACAAAATGTGGCATAAAATCCGTCCCGATTATTATGCTGCTACATGCCATATTTAGAATATTAAGGCATTTGAAGAACCATGCTTTTCAGGGAACATTTTTCACCTGATGATCTTCCCCACTTGCATGATTACAATGATAACGATCATTACGTGCGGACTGATAAACATTAGCTAAACAACTACCTGCGGCCATCTTTTTTGTTTAGTTGTTTTACAAAGGTGGTAGGGTGAGTAACATAACTTTCTTTGGACCTCCGAAGGGAGTTATATTTTCCAAGTGGTTATATTTTTTTATGAAGCGTGCATTGCTGAGGGGAATGAGCACGAGGGATCATATCACTCTCTATCTAATATTACTTACTAGTGCATGGTAGATTTCATGTTGTACTAACACTGGGAGATCTGTTGTTGTGGCATCTGGACAAATGTTGATGAACCCTGCAATAGGCCTTAAGAGTCGGAGAGCAATAAAATAGTAACACATAAATCCTACATCAACATGATAAAAATTGTGCATTACTATCACTATGGTAGCATAACAATGCTGTTTTACAGAGGGGTCCCTATAGACATATAAGACATGTAAATATAGTACAGGAATAAGGATAACTTACCCCCCAAAAGAACTTACAATAATGACAAGATCGAATTGGAGTAAAACAAAAAAAAGGAGAGAAAAAATTATGTATATTTTTGGTTTAAATAGCTTACATAATAATAGGATACCTAAACAGTAATAAGAAGTCTGAAAGAATTTATGACCAGTTTGAAGTAATTTTGTGGTATGAGCTTAGGAAGAAATACATAACAGGTAAAATCGGTGCTAGAAATGAATGCCCGACTGTAGCTCAGTCAAAAATGCAATTTAAAGAAGTATGTTTTAAAGATAAAGACCAGTTATAGTCATGTAGCATTGTGAAAGAAACAGTATGGAATCGATCACAAAAGGTTGATCATCTAGCATGTAAGTATTGGTATGTACTGCAAGGTTCTGGAATCATCAAAATGATAAGAAATTTGGCCCAGTCTTGGTGAAGTTACGCACTGTACACAAAAAGATGTGCACGGGACTACGTGACACGTGCGCGATATCTATCAGGTCCAAGTAGATATAATAATTTACCAAATATATCAATTAGTAGGCGGTTTCTCGGCAAAATGTGTATCATCACGTATTAGTCAAAACATATTCTTTCACATAATTGGTAATAACAGTTTCCATTACATTTTTTGAGAGGGGGCGTTTCAAAATCTGGTCTCTACCTTTTAAGATGCTATATCCCTTTTGGAGCCAACAGCGAATTCTGTAGAACTTTGCAAGAATTATAAATATGTCATGTATGTCCTATCTGTGAAATGTAAACGTTAGCAGTGTCCTAGTATACAAATTATGCAAGAAAACCCGTTTACTTGCTAGACTTCACTGTCAGACACTATTGAGTGACTGACTGCCTATTTTTTCTTCTTTGGTAATAACTTACATAAAATGAGCTGTAAAGGGTACATGAGCATTTGTCTACATCAATATGACCATCTGAATAAATAATTGTCCTATGGGAAAACAGTAGAGCACTATAACACTGAGTTCCCATAGGACTTATATTTATTCAGACGGTCATATCTCAGCCAATACTTAACATATTCAATTGGTTTTTAAACATTTGGACATTATTTTTGATGCTCTTTTGGAAAATGAAGAACAAATTGAGAAATTCTAAAAATAGATTTTTATGACGTCACAGCTTCGGTATTCTATATAGCCCTACCTATTCAGTGTCGGGTAAATAAAGCACGCACTAGCAAAGCCGATGGTGTCTCCCTGGCAGGGACCACCGGCAACGGAGGTGACGTAGAGAACGTAATGAACGTCGCTCACGCCTCTCTCGGCGGGTCCTCCTGGTTCGGGCACGCAGTCGTACTCTGTCCCGTTCTCATACCGCTTGCATGTGGAGCACGGCTATATAAATTAAAGGGTATAATTATAATAATTAAAGTAATTATAATGATAATTATAATTTTACAAATAATTATAACACAGTAATAGCAATAAAGGTGATACTACTACTACTACTAATAATAATATTCATTATAATAATAATGATGATAATAATTTTAATACTACTACTACTACTAAAATAATAATAATAATAATATTCATAATAACAAAAAATAATAACAATAATAACATTAATAATGATAACGATAATAATAATGAGAAGACGAAGAAGAAGAAGAATGAAAACAATAATAATAATAATTGTTTTTACCAAGGAAAGCGTCATTAGCTTCTATGCTGTCCTTCCTGAGGGCCCTGCAATTATTATCACCCCAGCGATTGCACCTTGCCAAAGTACAATATAGTGCCGGGCTGAGATTCGAATTCTCAACCCCTGTATTGAGCGTCAAGTGAATGCACCACTATACCACGACACCTTTCACATGAAGGTCCTGAATAGTCTTTTCAACTTACTTTTTTTAAAGCTGCAAAATCTACTGCAATCGATACTGTACGTGGCAGGACAATTCATTTTCCAATTTCATTAATTTTTGTAATAGATTGTATTTGTATGATTGAACTTGTGCTAACAGTCATCTAGCTGGATAGGTTGGCGTTTATTTCATTAATGATTAAATGAATACCATAAAATAGAAGTCACAGTTCAATACTTATTCCCGCTGCATATAATTAACAATATCACAGATTTCATTTTAACATGCCTTTTCAAAAAATTAACTATAATAGTCGTTGAATCTTGTGTAGCCCTCAAGTCTGGCATATTGCCACTCCTGGCGCTCCCTTAGCATTGTATTATTATATTACCCCGGCTTAAGCACGGCTACAAGACAGCGTTCGAGCATTCGTAATGAATTATCTCCTGTCGGATACCCATTTACCACGCCTAAGGTGGAGTTTGGAAAATGAATGAAGAGTACAATGATCAATATAGATTGATTTCTTGCCAAAGGATATTAGTTTTGCGACAGGGAATCGAATCCCCTATAGCTACCTTCACTGTGAACATGACGGAAAGAGAAAGAGGACAAAATATACAGTTCCTCATTCTACCCTCAACAATTGCTGTGGTAGACAAAAGAAGATCCTTCACTACTATTATGTAAAAATGTGTAGAACAGGTGTCACATGCATATTAACCTGTTATACTCATTTTTAAATAATAGCAGTAAAGGGATGTTCCTTTGTCTACCACATCAATTGTTGAGGGTAGAATGAGGAACTGTATATTTTGTCCGAACAACGTGGGCGAGGAAGTAAACCAACCACAAATAAAGTTTTGGCTTACGAAATCTATGCCTGCCCATCACTAGGCGTTGTAGCGTGCGTCTGTAATCCAGCTACTTTTAGATTTAAGGCAGTGCCTTAAAAGGACATCACACGTATAGCAGTCCATTAGGTCGACGTGCAAATCTAAAGGCCCGGTCATACAGAGGGGACGCATGGGAAACGCACGGCCAGCGCATTGGAAATTTGCACTTTTGGTCTGTGCGTTGTCGTGCGCCCAACTTTTGTTGAAGCTACAGCGAGCTGACACCAAATGCACAGCGTGTAGCTAGCGCGTTGTGCGTATACAGGGCGTGTGCTCCGCGTATGTCTGGCGCTAGTCTAGCGCGCTCCACGCATGTCTGGCGTGCCTTTGGCGTGTACATTCATGCGTCGAGCTCCGCGCACACTTTTGAGCATGCTCAAAAAATCCCGACGCACACAGCGAATGACGACGAATGCACAGCGTGGGTCCAGCGCGCTCGACGAACGAGTAACGAATGATGACGCACGCCTAGCGAACGACAACGCACTGGCCCAAATTGCAAATTTCCAATGCGCTGGCCGTGTGTCCCCCATGCGTCGCCTCTGTGTGACCGGGCCTTAAAGTCCAAGTAAGTATCAAGCTGATTCAGCCGAGGACGCATGTTCGAAACTGAGTCACGTCTTTTGGACGGTGACATTTAAAGGTCGGTCCCCAGACGTAAATAATCATATCTGAATGATACACGTCTGTAAAAATCCAATACACACACACACACACACACACCCTGTTATTATTTGATATATATCTCTCTTTAGAAATCTAGCCATCTGATTGGTCGAAATTGCAGTCGTCATTTTTAATATTCCCGCAAAGAGACGAACACATATAGTCAATAGTTCAAGAGTGATATCCGTTGCCCCGGGTAACAGGCCGCATAAATCAATTGTGCTCAGATCCTCATTGGTTTACGTGTTAAAATTGTCTTTGTGCGAGCGCGGACACCATACAGTGCTTTTTATCTGCGATTCCTAAATGATTGAAACTTTCAGTCGTTTTCAAGCGAAGATAAGCAGACAGTTTCTCAGATTTGCCGTGATGTTTTAACCAATCTTTGCTCAATAAAAGGATGAAGTAAGAATTCTTGGTAGAGTTTTGTTTCAATTCGGCATATAAAAGACTTATCGACTGCTTTAATATTCGAGGCCTGGCTGTTTTATATGCTCTCTAGAGGCACGCCTCTGGGTCATGGCTAGATGCGCGCACGTATACTATTCATACTAAACTATTATGGCTCGTGGAATTTTGAAAAATAATCCGAAGCTTCGTAAAATACATGCCATGCTTGAAGGCAGATATGACGCTTTTTTAAAACAAACTATCACATTATTACCGACATTCTACCCCTTGGCATGTTGGTTTGCATTCATACGTTGGTGTCCTACCGCGGTTTTACGCATTCTCGTTCCCCTGTGAGCGTGTGAAACGCAACGTCATTCGGCATCTGCGGTGTATTTGTCTTTTCCTTTCTCCATTTTGATCGTCCTGTGTCAGTGCTTTATTGCAAAAATCTCTGAGCGTTATTGATAGATTTTTGTCTTTTCCCTCCTTTCCAATTCGCTCTATATTAGGTTTGTGTTTAGTGAGGAAAGTAAATCTACTTCTGATATAAATCACCCTGGTATGAAACTAGATTTGGGTGAACTCAATACGACTGACGTTTTGTTTTCAGTTGTCTTTCCCACCCTGTTTCACAGTTTGGTTTTCTTCGTTGTCAACACGTAGAACGAGAATGCACGTGCATATTTTAAAAATCACCTCTTCCCCTTTTTTTCACTTGTGCTTTCTTCTTGGGAAATCTTCCAAAAAGACACGTGTTGTTGAAAAATATGACTGATGTAGCCTACTTCATGAACTTGAGATTGATTAAGAGAGTTGTGTTAAGAAGACAAAACTTCAACAAATCAATCAATATTTATTTATAATTTGCTTTCGTGCTTGCGATATATTTTCTCTCACGGGAAAAAGTTTTGATGCAATTAATTAATACAATTCTATGAATTTATTTGTTTGGTTCTCTCAAGTAATTCGGAGTAACGTAAACAATATGGACTTTAATTTAATCTTATTGCATTTTTGTTACAAGGTTTTCAAATAGCTTGAGATTGTACAAAAACATTTCATCTAAAACGAAAATCTAAGCCCATGATACGTAAATTTTCGGTTCTTTAATGAAAGAACTAACACGAGTACCAGGCCCTGTAGATAATTATTATTTGACGAAAATATATCGGTATACTATATTATGCAGATAATTATGTGATTTCAACTTTTTGGAATCACATTTAAACAACTGGGTATAATAGTCATGAAATATAGTCATTTAGGCCATTAAGAAATGGTCAACATCACCGCCAACAAATTCCGATAGATAATTAACATGTATATAATTTTGTAATATTTATTTTAATTGATAAATAAATGAGGTTGCGAAAGGAAGTGAAAACTTCTGCATTTTAAGGAAATCGTATCTTTACAATCATGGAGCAATGGGCTGCAGTAAAACAATTACGATTTACAGCATCTTGACTTTGCATCACAGCTCTAAATAGGCAGGCCTATAATCCTATTCGATAATGTTTAGAATAAAACAATAGAAAACATTACTATTGAATTTTGTATTAATTCATTATGACCCATACGAAATGTTATTTTCACCGGTCAGCTTTACCTTTAGTTTTTTTTCTCAAATTTCATATTTTCAATAAACAGCAATCAAGTTCTTTTGGTCTGGATATGTTTAATGATATCCCCAAAAGGGTCTAAATCTGTATATCCCCCCCCCCCCACGATATTAGCACATCCTGCTATGACCCCTCGGCGCGCCGAGTTCCCTTGAGCATATAAAACAGCCAGGCCTCTCAAAGCAGTCGATATCTCTATAATATGATATGATGTATTTTCTATCCTAGACCTACCCTATGCCCTAGTAGTAGTGATGACTACGTATAGAGGTGCTCGTATTTAAAAAATAATAATTATAGGCTACATCTAACAATTACTCAAACATTTTTGTTCATCAAAGTTCATAATTATTGTCATTTCACTTAACATTCTAAAGGCATCACAGCGATATAAGGGGCAAATTGAATAGAGGAATTTTCCAAACGTGCAAGAAAAAAGGTGTCGTCTATCTTCAGATTTTAGGACGCTTGTTTACTCCAAATATTCTGACATGCCCCTAAAAAGGGGGCACACTTTGGGCGTCATGTTGGCCATTTCTTGCTTTTCGGGGGGGGGGGCTGCAAGGGCTCTGTGTTAATACAATCACTTACTTGTAGATGGTGTTCGGGCAGCGTAGCTGTACCACAATCCGCCACATAGTCGGCACATGTACAATTGACCACTGTTCCATTATCCACATACGAACCAGTTTGACACTGCCTGTTAATCGATAGAAATAGAAGAATATCAATGTTAAGAAACTATTTACTTTTTAATTTGTTTGTTTGTTTGTTTGTTTGTTGGCTTATTTTAGGCAAGAGGGAAGGGATTAGTTGAAAAATAATTTTCCTGTGATTTCTAGTCTTTGCTGCGACACGCGAAGTTACAGCGAATTCAAATATGACGCAGCAAAACCATGGCGTTGTGTAAATAAACAAACAAATAAAATCAATATGCGGGGAAGAGTTACCTGTCGAAAATAAAGTCCTGCGATTCTTCCTTCACTTGGAGTTGTCGAGATATCAAGTCCACTGTCTCTCGGGTTATATTCTAGATTTCACAAATGGAAAATAGGTGTTGGTTGATTATGATCTGGTTTTTATAGCGCTAAATACGAAATACCGTCTCTAAGTGCTTTACAGATATAATTACCCCGATCATCGGAATTATTCACGCACAATGTGCACCATCTCCACGCCCTTGGAGTAGACTATTCCTACCATATGGTCACCATGCAGGGGCGGATCCATCCGACGGCAGGGGAGGGGGCCCAATTCGTGAGAAAATAATTAGCGGCGAAAAAGCCGGCCGATAATTCGCTCAGTGGGGGGGGGGGGGGGTAGTGAGCACAATCTTTTATTTTAAAAATCCCCCTCCCCCCCCCCCCCCTTGAGCGCCAGGGGAGGGGGCCCATCTCCCGAACAAAAACATTAACGTGTATTTACACGTTTTCAGCCTGCACTTTTCAGGAAGAAGAAGAAGAAGAAGGCTTTGGTCACCCTACCAGGTCCTATTTCCTCTTATGGGTATAAAGTGGTAAATGTAGATTAATGCCTTGCCAAATCATTAGTGCCGTGTCGGGTATCGAACCTACACACTTTGCATTTCAAATCAAGTGCTTAAATTCGACTATGACAGCTCTAGGATACTATATCAATAGTTAAAAGAATTAGGACATCAAAAACATAAATATTTCCGTGTTTTGTACACAGAATTATAAAATACAAAAGCAATTTATATGAGAACTAACAAAGATGCCTTCATTATTATAAATCTTTCCGAAATGACTTAGAGGCTGGATGTCTAAAACCACCATTCATATAGTCGACATTCAAGATCCCGCCTTATCCAAGGCTTAATATTCAAACTAATTATTTCATTACTTATGATCAAATATCAGTTGTTTGAGTACAATAAAAGTCAGAGAGAAAGCCAGAAATAGCTGACTATGGTTGACTGTTTGCTGCATATATTTGTTAGCTACCCAGGATGAACGAGAAGGGTTAAGGTTAGGATTAGGGTCCGATTCGTTTTACTCCACTAAAGGAGTATTGAGCCAGATTTCTTCAGATTCTGAAGAATTCTTCAGCTTCAAGGTCAACTTTTCAATTCATTCAACTTAAAATGGCTGAAATATAATTTCCGAAATGTTTATAACAGAGCGGGATTTTCTGGTTTAAGTGGAGACATTTTAAACAAATGCCATTCACCATGTCCACGGCCATGTCGATGTATCTTGAAACACACCGTAACCTGGATCGCTATCAGAGAAACACTTTCGGGTGAAACAAAGTCAAAGTCAATATGCTAGTCCCGATTGAAAAGTATTACAAGAAAACCCATGATAGTACATGCACAGCAATTCGGGGCGTTGTCCCTAAATGCGTCAAAGTTGACGGAACAGAATCAATGACTTTTCCATATTTCAAAAGTTTACAACAGTTAGTTAATTTCTTTTAGAGTGAACATTGTTTTCTCAGATTTTCTGCATTCGCAAAATCATCTAGTCACGAAGGATCGATTTCCCTTTTTAAAAATAAGGTTGAGTTCTGGCAAAGATGAAAAATAATCTGCGAGCCATCACATTCTTTGTATGACATTTTGAAACATGACAAGAAATAGCTGAAAAGTTTACGTGGAGTACCAAATACCAGTTTCTGTGTATTGAATGATTTGTTATTAAACCGCCTTTTCCTACTTGCTCCCCCACAGTCCTTTCACAAATTGATCGCATTAGCAGTACTTTATCTTTCAGAAAATTTGAAAATTGTCATGAATTAATTTACAGCGCTACCGCGGAGCCATGTATACGGAAGTTTAAACGAGCAGCGAGAAGGCGACTTATTTAACTAGCCAATGCCTCTTGTTAAGGCCAAGAAGGCGAGAAGGCGACTTTTTAAAACTCGCCTTAGTATTAAAAAGTCGCCTTCTAACCTTCTCGTCTTAATCAAGACACTTAATTTGGTGAGTTTAACAGGTCACCCTTGCGTTTCATGTTTAAGGTCCGTAGATGTGGCATAAAACAACTTACTATGATGAAGTCGCTTATCGATGAATTCGTGACTGACTCGTCGTACCATACTTCAAACTTCATTTGTTGGAAGGTGCTGCTCTGAGACCGACTGGTCGATGATCGATGAGTGTGTATCCCTGGTTTGAGCTTTGCAAAGCAAAAAAAGATAGTAAAGAAAAAGACGAAACAAATATTAAAAGAAATGTCAGATTCTATGTATTCCATACGACCATATGCTGCCTCGTACGATTAGCGAAAAACAAAACAAAACAAAAAGAAACAAACAAACAACAGAAAGAACAATTAGCCATTACGCCTGCCACTCTCACATGACACTTGAAAGAGCGTTCAGTCGATGACGTAGCCTTTTGACAAGACCTCTTGACTCTGGCTATTTTCCACCCAAATCAGCGGCTGAGATGAATCTAGAGACCCAGGGTGAACGCGCGATGACCTCGACCGATCGAGTGGCGGTAGCTCGCTCTTCCGTTCACTCGGGTCTTCGCGATTAGTTTCTTTTTAGTCGCTCGGCGTCTATCAGACATGCAACCTTGTCTACAGGCTATCGCTGACGTAGTCTTATGTCATGCCAAGGAAGCCGTGTTGTGTGCAACGCCCGTCAGTGTCCCATTGAATAAAAACATTTCCATATTTTCAAATAAAGTCTTCATTCAATTTTTCTCAAAGCATCAAACAGTATAAGCAAATGTACAAAATGATGGATACATACATACAGAAAGGTACAATGAAAAACAAAATGTTAGTATTTAGATAAGTTGGACGTGCCTCCATGTATCAAGAAATTAAATAAACCTATCTTGTTACAAATAAATTGTTTGTTCAACTTGATCCCTTCAAATATTTAGTTGAAATATATTTTGCATACAAAATAACGACATTAAAAAGAATTAAAGTTTCTACGTGGGATGGCAAAAATCAAATTATTACATGTTCACTAAATTTGGTTTTTGAAGGCATATTTTTCAAAATCTTCTGAGAATCGACGAGTTAAGGGGGCATTTCCAAAATAAGTGTTCAATATATTCAATATCTTTTGAACGAAATGTATACAAATCAGGATGGGATATACCAACAGTCTTTAAATACTTATTGACACCAAGAATATTGTGAGTTATTTTGAACTGAAAAAACTTAATTTTGTCGACGAAAAACATTTAAAAGGAATGATTTGCATAAAACTTACCTTTGACTGTAACTTTATTGAAACCTTGATTTGATTGGTTGTTGAGTGATGCTGCCATCATGATAGTAGTTACGTTGATGGCTTAGTTACCATTAAATGTGAGTTTTATGCAACGAGGCCCATTGCTTTAAACCAAAGATATCATTTCTTGATATCGAGAATTGAATTCTTAATATCACGAATTGAACTCTTAATATCAAGAATTGAATCGGACGCCGGGCAGCTTCGTAGCACGTTTGTGCCCGCGGTATAAAAAGAAGGCCTCCCAAACATGAGACCGCGCACGCCGTGTCACACCGTAGTAGAACGCAACGCGCCGTAGCGCATCGGGCCCGTAAACCGTCTCACAGCGGACCGCCTATTACGTACTGTCATGTTTTGTTGCGTTTTTACTACGTCCTATAATAGGTTTCCCATCTGCACCTAGACTGCCGTGGCAAATTCGTTGACAGTTTAAAAATCTGGCCCGGCATCCACGGCATTGACGGTCTGTCACGTTTGCGATTCCGCCCATGCACCCCCCCCCCCCCCCCTCCCCGCGTTGTCTCACGTCCATCACGTTTTGTCCAAGGTGGAGTGAAGCGTGATTGCCGTGGCCGCCGGGAACTGTTTATGCTAAGTTCACACCGACGCCGAATTGATGGCGAATTAAATCGGCGAGCCAAGCGGCGGCAAAGCGTAACAAAGCCTAATTAAAGCGTAAAGACCGTAATAGAGCGTGAGAAAGCTTTGAGCAATTCGGGACATTCAGCAAGAGCGCCAAAAATTGTTAAACTGTTTAAAAATTTGAGGCGATCTTTCACGAATTGCGTAAAGCGGGGAGAGCATATTAAAGCTTATCAAAGCGTCACAAAGCTTATCAAAGTTTTGCTCAAAGCGTAGGAAAGCTTAACAGAGTTTAACAGAGCTTGGCTCAAAGCGGTGACCCCACTTTGTACGCTCTGTCACCAATTGACACGCTTTGTTAAGATGTCTCATCTGAGGAGATCGTGAGATTTTTTGAAAAGTAAACAAAAATGACGCCGAATTGATCGCCGATTTAAAGCGCGACATTCGGCGTCGGTGTGAACTGTGCACAACGTAGCATAACAAAAAACAAGTCTATAGTACGAAGCAGGGTGGGGTAGAGCATAGAGTCAAAGAGTGGTTTATAGCCTTACCGCCTTGAGCTCAACTTTTGGAATAACGCATCTCGGCCCATCGCCGTCCATAGGCATTGGCTCACTGAGACCAGGGAACTCCATGCTGAGACCAAAGTCAAAGACGAACGCCAAACACACTAAAGTGATCACACGCCCCTCCATGATTATGTTTAAAAGGACGATGTGTAGAAAGATACATCACCAGAATAATTTCGTGTTGTAAGACTGCTGCAGTAGCTTGTTTTTAAAATGACGGCCTGGGGGCGTTTCATCAACATTAGTCCGCCGACAACAGTCAGCGCTTACTAAATTTGACCAATCAGAGGCCTGGAAAAAAGTTGGTGACCATAAAATTGTCGATGAAAATGATATTATGTCGGTGAAAACCACCAACTAATTATTGTTTCATGAAACGCCTCCCCCCCCCCCCCGTCCTTCTAAATCAAACAGGTACGTCAATAGTGTCTTTATTGCAAAAGCAGTGTTATCAGGCTTTATATTTTGCACGCCATAATGATTTTGATAAAAGGCTTAGTATTGGGCTTAAGGTTCATCGATTCTATTTGTCATTAAAGAATGTAAAGGTCCTTGAAAAAATGAGAAATTAGTTGTTAATAAAATGGTACGTCATAGGTTAACTCAACCGTACGTCATTCGTTAAGAGCCTAGAGATATGAAAGGATACATACAAGGAAACTGGTCATGTGAATAGACTGTAACAGACACTACGAATAAGTTATTGACTCTAGTAGACTCTCGTCTACCGAGAGAACCTTTTTTAAAGGTAATACAAAGTTTTGGTATGGGGCTCGAATGGGGTCGTGAATTTGGTTCAAATTAACATATTGGAAGCATATCCTACAATATTCACTGATCGTTGTCGCGGTCGAAATCGACTCTAAAGTTATGAAATTGTAAATAATGAACAATTTATGTTGTATAGCTCCCTCTCAAGGTCAATATATTAATTAAGCTATAAAACAATGTTTCTTGACTGAAATCGACCGATAAGCTATTCCCGTTCGAAAATTATATACCACAACTACATATTCTGAGATTTTCATGGTCGCATTTACCATTGTACGGCCGTAGGAGCTATTTGAAATTTATCAAAATTTACCGGGAGCACCGGTAAATCTTAATATTCCATATTTCTCAAAAGCAGAAGTGTTTTAGGGGCTAAAATTTCTAGTGCTTTTAAAAGATCCACAGGGGCATCCAAATATACCAAATTGTAAAGATTCACTATCCAACCATTTTTCAAAAATCCAAAATACTTTGTAATACCTTTAAGTGACTGCTCTGAAAACGAGGAATAATATCCAAGTTAATACGGAAAACTGTCATTGGTAATAGGGGTAATTATAACATGTACTTTAAGCTTCTAGTAGGAAAGCTTTCGTCCACTCCTATGGACTGATACAAGCCAAGTGATTATTCACTGGAGCGAAGATAGGTGATATAATAGTCTCTATTAATGAAGGAATCATTTTTCAAACTCATTAATGTGGGTATCATCCCATTGAATGTTGTGTCCAGTATCTGTCGTCTTCAAATCCCCCAGTTGGAAAGATTGTTTGTTACAGGTAGTATATTGAACAGCAAAATTAAAATTGAACTTTCATAAGGGATGTTTCCTTGAACACGGAACCAGTATCTTTGTAGTATATTCCCCCCCCCCAAAAAAAAAAAAGAATAAAAAAAAAATATATGTTAGTGAGTGTCTGCTAAAAAATATCAGACTGTAGGAACGTTTTGTCCTTACGTCACTGATATGTAAAGACACTCTTCCAAATTTGAAATAAGGAATTTCAAGAGAGTGAATATGATTTACTAGTCTAGTTTCTTCATTTGTAAAGTCACTGAACCATATCTTTGGAATAGCTTGATTTAGTTTAACAGACTTTGCTTGCTTTTCCTCGGCGTACTGACAGGCCTTTAACAGTAAAAAAAATGTCAGGGACCTTTACTGCCATCCAATAATCTACCAAGCTATCTTGAACGAAAACTTATTAATCTGTTTCTCAGTGTTAATCATATGTAATCCTCCTTGGCTATAATATTAAGTAAGGATAAACCCTTTTTCCTTGTCGATTTTGGAATTCTTATTTCAAGGCGTATTGACAGGTCTTTCACAGTCAAAAAATGTCATGGACCTTTACTGTCATCCAATAATCTACCAAGCCATCTTGAACGAAAACTCATCAATCGTAATCCCCCTTGGCTATAATTTTGAGTAAGGATAGACCCTTTTACCTTGTCGATTTTGGAATTCCAAATAAATTGGAATACTAATTTATTCAATTTATTCAGACTCTGGTGGAATCATGTCTACTATGAACTATTTGACTTAATGCAAGTGATTTAACAGCTGTGATTCTTCCGAATAATGTGAGGTTTCTGCTTTTCCAGTTGTCCAAGAGTTTGTGTAGTTTGGTCAATTATTTTCCCAACTCAATTTTGTAGCATAGTATAAGTCTGCAGATATGAAATATATAAGTACTATACAGGTTCTTTTAACCAAGTGAGATCAAAGTCACAGAGAAACCATCTTTTTCATGTAATCTCTAATCCAGAAAAGAACAGTATTATTTTTATTTAATGTCGGGCCTGCGACTTTTCCAAATAAGTCTAATTCATCTATTACATTCTCTAGATATGTTTTTATTTTTAACAAAAGAATAAGGTGTCGTCAGCATATGTTAAAAGTTTAAGTGTAGAGTTGCAACCTTTAAAATCAAATTTCTGAATGGTATTAGTTTTCATATTAGCTATGAACTCATAGATTGCCGCTCGAATGCGGCTTGAATACCGTTGGAAAGTCCCGAATGCACCTCTATTGCCGCTGGAATCTATGTCAATATTTTCGGTATTAAAAAAATCCAACTGGATTGCACTTCGAATGCCGTCGGAATCTCGAATGCGGCTCGAATGCAGTTGGAATCTTTAGATTGCCGCTTGAATGCAGGTGGAACGTCCCGAATGCACCCCGAATGTATCTCGATTGCCGCTGGAAAATATTTCGGTATTAAAAGAATCCAACTGGAATGCACTTCGAATGCCGTCGGAATCTTTAGATTGCCGCTCGAATGTGGCTCGATACAGTCGGAACGTTCCGAATGCACCTCGAATGCATCTCGATTGCCGCTGGAAAGTATTTCGACATTTTCGGTACTAAAAGAATCAAACTCGAATTCACTCAGAATGCCGTCGGAATCTTAAGATTGCCGCTCGAATGCGGCTCGAATGCACCCCAAATGCATCTCGATTGCCGCTGGAAAATATTTTGGTATTAAAAGAATCCAACTGGAATGCACTTCGAATGCTGTCGGAATCTTTAGATTGCCGCTCGAATGCAGCTCGAATGCAGGTGGAACGTCCCGAATGCACCTCGAATGCATGTCGATTGCCGCTGGAAAGTATTTCGACATTTTCGGTACTAACAGAATCAAACTCGAATTCACTCAGAATGCCGTCGGAATCTTAAGATTGCCGCTCGAATGTGGCTCGAATACACCCCAAATGCATCTCGATTGGCGCTGGAAAATATTTCGATATTAAAAGAATCCAACTGGAATGCACTTCGAATGCCGTCGGAATCTTTAGATTGCCGCTCGAATGTGGCTCGATACAGTCGGAACGTTCCGAATGCACCTCGAATGCATCTCGATTGCCGCCGGAATCTATTTTGATATATTTTTGGTACTAAAAGAATCCAACTGGAATGCACTTCGAATGCCGTCGGAATCTTTAGATATTGCGGCTCGAATACAGTTGATTTGATTTGATTTGATTTATTTATTTCTGTTTGATTTTCTTTTTGTTTTGCATTTTTACAAATATATAACAAACAAATATTGCAAATTTACACATGACAAAAGAATATATGTAGAATAAAGTAAGGCTGGGTGTAACTAATCGAGAACATCAAACAGGAGGGTTGACAAAATAAGCAAAGCTTGATAGTATGACTACCCTCAAAGGATACATAATGATACAAATATGGAGGAACAAAATATTGGTAAAAGGGGGAAAAGACAGAAAAAAGAAGAGAAAAGAAAGATGGGATGCACATCAATATTCACAGACTTATGTGGTAGTTGGATTTCAAATTGATATATAAAGATTTTAAATAAGAAAAGAAATGCAAATTTGAATGCATCTCGATTGCCGCTCGAATACAGTTGGAACGTCCCGAATGCGCCCCGAATGCATCTCGATTGCCGCACGAATGCGGCTCGAATACAGTTGGAACGTCCCGAATGCATCTCGATTGCCGCCGGAATCTATTTCGATATTTTCGGTACTAAAAGAATCCAACCTGGAATGCACTTCGAATGCCGTCGGAATCTTCAAATTGGCACCTCGAATGCGGCTCGAATGCAGTCGGAACGTCCCGACCAGAAAGTAAGACTGTCCCGAACTCACCTCGAATGCATCCCCCCCCCCCCCGCCCTCCCTCTCCCCCATCAGCGTATGCGCCTGTTTATACTAGTAACCTATGACATTAATTTTGATAGAGAAAAAAATGAGAAAGTGTATTGTATGCGTGTATGGCATTTTCATTATGAATTTTCTTGGATGTGAAATGAATAGTTTGTAAGGGGGAAGCTAGAAAAATATGCATGAAATGAACAATAAAATTATGGGTCAACAAGTAGAGGATAGAAAGTGGGAAATAGCTACACTCTAAAAACTGAAATGTTAAATCACCATTTAAAAGGACCGAGGACTGACCACTCTTTCAAAATGGTAGATTAACACTTTGAACATGCTGGATCCAACACTATAAAGGTTGAATCTAGCAGGTTATAAGAAACAATCTGACATTTTGAAAGAGTGGTCACTCCTCGGCCCTTTTGAATTGACATTTAACATTTCAGTTTTTAGAGTGTACATGAGCAGAGAGAGAGAGAGAGACAGACATAAAGACCGACAGAGAGAGAGGGAGTGTAAAAACTATGTGTATGAGAGAGAGAGAGAGAGAGAGAGAGGGGGAAACGAAGTGCAGATGGAAGGAGTGAATGGAGAGAGAGGGAGCTTCTCAAGGCGTTAGCAAGGTGGAGGAAAGGGGAAAGGAGAGAGAGAGAGAGAGAGAGAGGATATCATGGAAAGCAATAAATGTACTTGAAAACAAATCCAGACAAAACAATCCAAATGGCTGACAATACATAAATTGAGAGTGTGTGGTCATGATCGCCATTAATTATAGCAATATATAAAATCGTCTTGGAACATCATTAATCAGTGAAATTGAAATTTTCTTTTTGGTAAAATCCATCATCTGTCCCCCCCCCCCCTCTCTCTCTCTCTCTATCTCTTTGTCCCTCTCTTCCTTTCTCTCTGTTTCTTTTTTTTCTTTCTCTCTCACTCTCCTTGGCTCACGTTATTTTTTTGCTTCATGCCCATCTAATTCCTTTTCACATGTTTCATTTTCCTCACTTTTTGCACTTGACCTTTCTCGGCGGCTCTTCCTAGAGCACTCAGACTGAAAATATTACAAGTAACCATCACCAGAGAGAAGGAAATAGGAAAATGCCATTGAATTTTCATTTAAAAAAACAAACAAACGAAACAAAAATACAACTTTATGTGCACCTCAATTTTTCATATCAATTAAAACAAATTCCTTTTCGAAAAAAAACAAAGTTGGACGGAGATTGTATAATATATATAATGTTTGTCGTGAAGTCTTATTCATTTTCTTAACTGATAGTTGAAAGACTGAAACTAAACCTCTTTTGAGAGTTGGTAGGGCGTTAGCTTTGGATAAGAATATGATAAATCAACGCCCTTCTGGCTCTCAGTAAATGAAAAGTGAAGGCATCCTTTTAAGAGTCGTACTGTGAAGGAGCAACTTTTGAGGATCGCTTTCGACCGAAAACTTTCCCGCTCAACCCGACGTCATCCGTCTTTAAAACGTAACTCGAATCATCTTCCTTCTGAACGTCAGATCCATCTGACGGCAACTTCGCATACGGGTTTTTCTTGATGTCGCGGTCGACTTGATCAACCAGTCGCTTCAGAATCATCTGTTTCCGATGATGTTGGATGATCTGTACACATAGCATGATAATTACCGCAGTGACAAAAATGACCGAGATACCAATACCGACTATAGCAGCAAGGGATAAACCTTTAGGTTCAGGAGGGGGCGCTGTAGCAAAAATAAGAAAGCAGATCATCAATTTGACATCTCACCACAAATCGATCCAACATATAAATTATACATTGTGATAGTTAGCGACAAAATTTAGTCATGATGTCAGTTGTTATAGTTAAAGTCATCATTGAAACAATTGTATTTGATGAGACACAACCCAACAGTTTGAGAGTCCGATGGAAGTTTTATTCCATTATCCTAGCTCAGTCATCCCAGGGAGGGGTTACAAAATTCATTTCTCTTCGCAACTGATTTAGATGCGAATCAACAACAATAATCAATATCTAGTCAAGATAATTAAATGAGTTATTTCAGTAGTCAATCTTCTTTTGTACATTAGATTGAAGTTGATGGATATGCACGATGTCAAATGGAAAGGTCGAACCAATTCCAACAAGCAACAACAAAAAAGGGAGAGCAATTTTAAGGTATTTGGAATCGACAGAAATCTAGTCGCCAGATTAAAAAAAGTCTCCAAAATTTTCCAAGAATTTACGACACAAAAGTTTGAAACCGTTTTTACCTCACCCCCTAATGAAATAACAATTATTTTAAAAAAATCATCGAATTTTGCGATTTGCCAACAAGGATCGAAATTTCCAGACAGAAAATATTAAATGACGATCCTGAAAGAACAGTTATATAATTTCAAGATGAGCAGGCATTTACTTTATTTAGCCGTACTAAAAATTGCATTGGAACTCACCTGTACAATTGCCTTCATCACTCCAATCGCCACACATATTAATGGTGTTACAGACGAGAGACTGACCAATGCAGTAGCTGTTGTTACATTCAAACTCCTCATCCAGACATGGTGCTGAATTGGGAGGAAATTGGAATGACTGGTTTTTATAATTTTTTTCTACAAAAAACGACATTTCTCAAATGATGATTATTAAGCGACTTTGCTACACAATCGAACGAAGTCTGAACACCGTTCCTTCCAGATTGTATTTGTTTCGAATCTTAGCATTCACACATAAAAACTAAGTCGGTTCTGATTTGAAGAAAACTAATTTTAAACATCTACGATGACCACATACTTCTCACTTCTGAGCCTTTATTGTGCGACCGACATTATGCTATCAAGAATCTATAAAACGTTCGTCTTTTACCATTACCTCTTTAGAAAGAGTATGATGGAGATCGGTATCGAGGAGACCAGATACACCCCTTTAAAGCCCACCTGTCCTACTTGTAGCTACTTGCTCCCTCGATATAGAAAACTTCCCAAATCGGTGCCTGTTGGTCCCCCATGATCCTCTTTTTCTTATGTTCGTTGAGAGCTGAGTTAATGAGATAGCCACCTGTCAGTGACCTCGCTGTGTGGTCTAATCCCTTCTGGCCCAGTAGTATAGACGGTCTTTAAAGGGGACCAATGGGTTGGTGGTGACATACTGAACAGTTGCTAAAAGAGTGCTTAATATTTAGTTTGATATACAGGTAGAGTTGTAGATGGAGAATGGTCTTAGAGAAGACCCGGACCCCCCCCCCCCCCTGGTTCAAGGAACATAATAATAAATGGATGTTATATATGGTTATACCGTCTGAGATCTGTGTGAAGTAGATCCCGAATCCGAAGCTCTGTCCCCCTTCATCGGTCTTGAACCTTACGGTGATGTTGCTACCGTTGGAGACGAAGTCTGGTAGCTGGGTAAGACGTCCGCAGAGTTCTGGTGTAAGTGGCGGATCGTTCACCGTACTCCCATCATAAAACCTTAAACCGTCGAGACATTTACCTGAATACATCAAATTGAATGGAAAAGAGGATGTGAACACTTTATTTCCAACAAATTACTGACTGTAATAGATATGTATTGATGTTATTGTTATATTCTTATACACAATTGATCCCAATGAAATAGGCCAAAGTTTATATGATTTTCACCAAGTATACCATTATTAGCAAGCAAAGCCGGTGTCCATAATTATTGTGTAATCAATAATTACAAAAGGATAACTCCCTTGCGTTCACCCCACATTTTCAAAAATCGCGTCTCTATAAAAAAAAAACGCAGACCATACATAATTTACGGGAGGGCTGATTGAGAACACATATTATCCTCCCTATATATCTGATTAATTTTCCCATGCAGGAACATGATAAAAGGAATCACTCTCCCTGGTTTCTCAATAAAATATAAAATGCGGGGAGGAGCAAAATCAAAGTTTTCCTGTTTTTTTTTTTAATGTAGTGTTTATTTTATTTTTGCCTTTTTTAGGGGGGGGGGTGTGGTGGTTTTTTTTACACCCATCATTGACTCCAAATCATGTATGTGGGAAGGGTGGCAAGTGTCACGTAACAGTCAATATTCTGCTGGTAGTATAACCCTCACCCTTCTGGCCCCATAATTCCGCCCCCCCCCCCCCCACTCAGTGTTATTTAGGGTACGCGTGTTCCCTCCTTTTGAAAACACCCCCTAAGTCCGGTGTGTAAAGTCAATTTTGTGTATGTACGAGCCGGACTTTGGTGCGTAAAAAGTGCCCCTTTACCGGACATTTTGGTAACAGGCATGCGGTCATTCCGACCCCGGAGTTGGAGGGGGGGCGGGCCTAACCCCCACCTTCCTACACATCCAACTTACCATTAACGCCACTCTCTAGACTAAACCGATGGAATTGAATCAGGATCCTATGGGTGGGGAGGGCGGCCAGAGTTACGGTACAGTCAACATTATCTTTGTAGTTCAGTCCGTCTTCTGCCTCCAGGAGGCCCCCGGCTCCAGTAGGTACCACATAGCCACAGTGAGATGTTAAATAAACTGCAGTCGTACAAACAACAACAAATGTATAAAGCATTATAGGTATGATAGATGATGCACACCGCTTTTGAAATTGATATTTAGAAAGTCTTTACGACCTCGTTAAAAGAGAAATATGGGTAAATTTGTATAATGATACCCCTTCGCCGAGAAGGAGAAATTCATCTAAGAACAGTTTTAAACTTTTATTTATCATGCATGTGTCCCTCTTCTTTACATTGATTAGTTTTAAATAATCTCAAGTTTCGTTTTCTCATTTTACTGCTACCGCTTCGGGAATCGGGAAGTTTTACATGCAACATATAATGCGAGAGCTTATACATTCTTATTGATTGAATAGATTGAACAAAGCATGTGTTCTACATCAAACATTCAATAAAATGTACGTTATGTGCGTATGTTGTTTAGGTACTGGATTATTACTTTGTATAGTTTTGCTGGTTCGTTGCATTGGTGATTGTAATATTGTTATTGCGAATACCGATATATTTATCATGCTGCTATATCATTTCAAAGATCTTTGAAAATCAATACGAGAATTAATCGATGAAATGATGGAGTGTTGAAGTAAGACAGAATACTGTGATAAGAATAATATCAGTGAAATCAATAAAGAAGGCTGTGGAGCGTGCCAAGCCTTGCTGAAGTGCACAATAACGCGAAGAAACAATGCCCCATGTTTGGATACAAACACATGCACATAGGCCCTACATAAAAATTACATTTATAACACGTTTCTCAAAAGACATACTTATATAATATGCTCATTTAAACTAAACGCATTTCATTTTTATTTTATAGAAATTGATTTTCTTCATTATGTGGCTGTAATAATTAAATTCTTTCTTATGTTATGTGTATATATATATATTATAGTTTGGTCGCCTATATAATTATTGGGTTCCTTGTCTATGGCCCGCATGATATGCAAGCTCAAGCTTTAGATGATGGTCTCCTGCATTTTCCTATTTTGAAATGATTTGTCAAATATATTGTGTTTGTTTTTGAAAACGTATAAATTATTTAAATTGATTTATACGTGTATCGTAACAGCTCAAACATAATAGTGCGTATAAATAACAACAACAACAACAGTGAATTTTGCCATGTAGTTGTACCCATTCTACTTCGCAGTATTTCGTACAAATTTATCCAAAACATATGAACGTTGTCATTGATACATAAATCATCTTTGACACATAATGTGCTGCTATCCGGTCAATTTATCAAACACAAGGCATAATTTCACGGGGCCTGGGTATGAATAAGGAAAAGTGATTGAACATATTTTCTCGGTTTGTCTAACTCACAATTTGTCAACTATCCATACGGTCTAATAACCGTTTCATCGTAAATAATAGTAATCGTCATAGGGTTATTAGACCTCGTTTGGATAGTAGAGGGTCTGGGTGTGGATCACATGGAATAGACCAATTGGGTAGTAGACGAACTGGTGGTAGACCGAACGGCAAGTAATCGTTATCTTCATGAGTATTAATATAATTCTTATCCAGTACAGAAACATATTGTGAACCAATATATAATAATGATAATCATCATATGATTATATGAACTCGTTTGGATAGTAGACGGGCTGTGTGTAGCCTGATCACAAGGAATAGACAAATTAGGTAGTAGACGGTCTGATTGTAGACCGAACGGCAATTCATTGTTCGCTTCATGAGTATTAATATAATTCATATCCAGTACAGAAACATATTGTGAACCAATCAAGTATATAATAATGATAATCATCATTATGGTTATAAGACCTCGTTTGGATGGTAGACGGGCTGTGTGTAGCCTGATCACAAGGAATAGACAAATTAGGTAGTAGACGGTCTGGTTGTAGACCAAATGGCAATTTACCGTTCTCTTCATGAGTATTAATATAATTCATATCCAGTACAGAAACATATTGTGAACCAATCAAGTATATGATAATGATAATCATATGATGATAAGACCTCGTTTGGGTAGTAGACGGGCTGAGTGTAGACCAAACGACAATTCACCGTTCTATTCCCGAGTATTCATATAATTCATATCCAGTACAGAAACATATTGTGAACCAATCAAGTATATAATAATGATAATCATCATATGATTATAAGACCTCGTTTGGATAGTAGACGGGCTGTGTGTAGACAAAGCGGCAATTTACCGTTCTCTTCATGAGTACTATTATATAATTCATATGCAGTACAAAAACCAATCAAGTATCTGAGAAGCTGTATATATCTACATTATGACGACAGAATGAAATATATATTGAATGTGTCTTCGGTTTATGAACTTACCAACTTTGATCCCTACAGTGGAACCACATGATGTGAAAAGTAATATCATCGTGATGAATACCGACAAGGGCTCTGGGTTAAACATCACCGACCTCCAGGCATTCTTGGTTACTAAGGACGCCATGTTGATTTCATATCCGCACAGTGCATGTTCTTGTCCGCTAACATATCCCCGCAGGATTCAGCAGTAGCCTCAATATACACCTAAGATTGTTGGTATACAGTCGTCAGTTTTGACCTTTGCTTCCAGACGCACTCGTATCAGGTTCGTCACTGTTTAGTCATATATCATCATTTCTGTTTTCCGATGTTTATTCACCGAGTTGGACTTTGTCCGGCTTGTTATTTGCTCGTAGCGTGATCATCGATCAGCGCTAGTAAGTCATCCCTTGTGAAGCAAGTAGTGGGATGCAGTCAGTATAATAAGATCAGAGATGGGGGCGGGAGACAGATTACACCAAATGATTGGGTTCAGGGACGTCGCCTACCCACCGGGGGTGACCCCTCGACGATCGAAACCATTGCTTCTCGGCCAATTTAAAATGCTTATTCATAAGTCCAACTCTTGGCCAAAACCGTACACTTATAAACCTACCCTACCTCTGACCCCCAATACCTAATAACGATCTAACTCGTTTCAATCCGTCTTTCACGCCCAGAGCTTACGTCAAAGGAGCGAACTAAATAATGCCAGATTGCTTGCCATTTACTTTCGGAAACTTGATTATATTCATTCGACAATTTGGGTATTTCTTCCATGCCATTAACTTTCAGGGTCTTTGTTTGTTTGTTTTAGTTTTTGTTTTAATGACCATATGTAGATGAGCATGTACAATTCCAGTGGCGGATCCAGGGGGGGCCGAAACGGCCGCGGCCCCCCCTATTGGCGGCGCAAAAAAAAAGAGAAAAAAAAGAAAGGAGAAGAGAAGAAAAAGGAAAAGAGAAAAGAAAGGAAAAGAGAAAAGAAAGGAGAAGAGAAAAGAAAGAAGAGAGAGAGAAAAAAAGGAGAAAATAAAAAGAAGATCCCCCCCCCCCCCCTCCCCACCTCACTCCCACTCCGGGGTCGGAGGGATCGAATTTGTGTTCCCAAAATCTCCGATAAAGGGTTACTTTTCACGCAACAAAGTCCGGCCCGTAATACACAAAAATCCGGCCCGCACTGACTTTACACACCGAAAATAAAGGGGTGCTTTCAAAGAGAGGGGACATACATGTACATGCGCGTACCCTAAACAACACTGAGTGGGTGGGGGGGGGGGGGGAGAGAAAAGTCGGGTGAGAAAGGGGGAAAGACAAGGAAATGGTGCTAGGTGACAGTAACGACGAATAAGATAAAAAAAATGTAATCGGAAGATTTGGGGTCATTCCAGAAGGCTTGGGAAACGTTATTGAATAGAGGGGGCCGGGTCGGCCGCATAAAATTTCGAGCCACGGATTCAAAGTAAAACGTTAAAAACAGCCCCTGCTTTTGAAAAAAAATTGAAAAGGGCACAATATTTTGGATGTCTTTCAAATAGAAGCTATATACTCAACAGTAAAATTTTAAATTAAAGGTAGGGCCGCTTCACAACTCTTATGTTGCTCTTCAATTGGATTCAGCTCATATATAAACTCATGTTGGTAGTAATCATGGACAGGGGCGGCGATCCTGGGCCCGATAGAGGGACACGTCCCCCTGGAAATTTAGATATATAGCTAGAAAGAAATGAAGGAACGTACATATTGGGCTGAGGGATTTTCTAGAATGCATAATTTCAGCATTCTACATTGCAAAATCACGCTTGGTCGCTACGCCCCGGCCCTCGCCCGATAACACAAAACTTTGACATGGATAGTGATCCCGGTCGGGTCGGGATTATTACATGGTTGGTGTAAATAATTTTTTTTCCCCTTTCATTTCTACTGACCTAATTGTGTGCTATCACAATCATGATTGTTTCATTTTCCCTTTAAAGCATGCGTAGCTAGGGCGGTAGGGGCATTAAAAGGACATAGGACGGAAAAGGAGCAGACAAAGAAACAATTTTGAAAATTCTTACAAGTCGAGAACGGTACAACAAATCGTCTTCTTTCTCTAATAATTTAATGAAACGTTAAGCTTCTGCGCTTTCCGCTAGAGGGGGGAACTGAATTCAGAGAAGGATTAAAGGCCCACTGCACTACTTGTAGCTACTTGCGCCCTCTATATAACAAACCATGCCTAATCGGTGACCATTTGTCCCCCATGATCCTCTTTTTCTTATGTTAACTGAGAGCTGAGTTGATGAGATAACCACCTGTCCAGTGACCTTGCAGGGCAGTCTAATCCCTCCTGTTAACTATGGCAGATACGCTTTAAGAGTCGAGAATGAAACAATGAATTATCTTCTTTCTCTAATAATTTCATTACACTATGAAAGGTCAAAGCTTCCGCGCCTCGCGCGGAAGGGGGAAAATAAATTCAAACAAGGATTAAGAATCGAGAATGGAACAACGAATCATGTTCTTTCTCTAATAATTCAATGAAACGTCAAAGCTTCTGTGCGGGGGGGAAAAAACTCAATTCAGACAAGGATTAAGAGTCGAGAATGGTACAAAGAATCGTCTTCTTTCTCTAATAATTCAATGAAACGTCAAAGCTTCCGCGCTTCGCGCGGTGGGGGGGGGGGGGGAACTGAATTCAGACAATGATTAAGTATCGAGAACGGTACAACGCATCGTCTTCTTTCTCTAATAATTTAATGAAACGTCAAAGCTTCTGCGCTTCGCGTGGAGGGGGGGGGACTGAATTCAGACAATGATTAAGTATCGCGAACGGTACAACGCATCGTCTTCTTTCTCTAATAATTTAATGAAACGTCAAAGCTTCCGCGCTTCGCGCGGAGGGGGCTAACTTAATTCAGACAATGATAAAGAATCGAGAACGGTACAATTACGAATCCTCTTCTTTCTCTAATGATTAAATGAAACGTCACAGCTTCTGAGCTTCGCGCAGGAGGGGGTGGGGAAACTGAATTCAGACAATGATTAAAAATCGAGAACGGTACAACGAATCGTCTTCTTACTCTAATAATTTAATGAAACGTCAATCTTCGCGCGGGAGGGGGGGGGGACTCAATTCAGACAATGATTAAGAGTCGAGAATGGAACAAAGAATCATCTTCTTTCTCTAATAATTTAATGAAACGTCAAAGCTTCCGCGCTTTGCGCGGGAGGGGGGAACTCAATTCAGACAAGGATTAAGAGTCGAGAACAGTACAACGAATCGTCTTCTTTCTCTAATGATTTAATAAAACGTCACAGCTTCCGCGCTTCGCGCGGAAGGAGGTGGGGAAACTGTATTCAGACAATGATTAAGAATCGAGAACGGTACAACGAATTGCTTCTTTCTCTAATAATTGAATGAAACGTCAAAGCCTCTGCGCTTCGCGCGGGAGGGGGTCTAATTCAGACAAGGATTAAGAGTCGAGACCGGTACAACGTATCGTCTTCCTCCTTTAATAATTTAATGAAACGTCAAAGCTTCCGCGCTTTGCGCGGAAGGGAGGAACTCAATTTAGACAAAGATTAAGAGTCGAGAACGGTACAACGAATCGTCTTCTTTCTCCAACGATTTAATGAAACATCAAAGCTTATGCGCTTCGCGCGTAAAGGGGGGGGGGAGAAACAGCGACCTGCCCGAATATGATTTTGTTTATATCTTTTTTCGTATATTTTGTAGATAAATAACACTTTCACAAAATACATATTATCCTCAAATTTGTGCTCGCTCGCTTCGCTCACTATTGTGAAACCAGAAAATTACTTTTTCGGGAAAGAGGCTTCAGCCCCCCCCCCCCCCCCGATGAAAATGTTAAAAAAATTGTACCGGTATGGTGCTTCTAATATGACCTTGTCAGTATTGGTATGTTGAGTTGAAAAACGGTCTGCGCAATTTTTCAAATCTCCGGCCCCCCCTATTGGAAAATCCTGGATCCGCGCCTGCAGTTCGGTATGAACGTTAAAGTAAAGTGCATCTTTAAATTGCAATATGCAATAAATAATAAAGCTGCATGCGATACTTGGATTCCGGAGTCAAGACCAAGAAGGAAAACTTTTGATTTCATTCATGTAGCATTCTGATCTCAGAGTCGAGAGCTTGAAGAAGCCATAAAAAATCCGGGTTGGTCTCTTTCAATTATTATAATCATGATATTAGCATTGGATAATTTTCAAACACGCAAAGAGCTCAAGGCGCTCGAATATTACTCCGGCTCTACTAGGCTACCGATTTTGGTGCTCACAGCCAGGCGCATACGCAGGGTGGTGGGGGTTAACCCCCCCCCCCCCCCTTGAGTTTTTTTTTAATGTGTATGTTTTTTGGAACCCCCCCCCCCCCCCCCTCCCTTGTTTTTTTTTTTTTTTTTTTTAATAAATAAAATATTAAAACAAATTTAAAAATCCTAATGGATGACCTAAAAAAGATGACCTTAACCCCCCCCCCCCCCCACCCCCAACGGAACGGAATGTCGATCGGTCAAATTTCGGATCCAAATTAAAAAAAATATGTCCTCTTACCCCCCCCCCCCCCCCCCCCCCCCCCAAAAAAAAAAAAAAAAAAAAAAAAAAAAAAATATGTTCTCTAACCCCCCCCCCCCCCCTACTTATTTAGCGGCTGGCCGAGTCGTTGCGAAATTTTTGGCCTGATTTCAAAATCTTTTCGATACAATAAAAAGAGGATCATGTTAATATAACTATTTTGCCAATGTCTTTTAAATAGAGGTAGAAATCTGCTTTCTTCGGTGTTTCTTTTCTTTTCTGCAGTAATAAAAGATAATTAGAGGGCATATATATATAATTTATTTTATTTTATTTATTGGTTTCTGCATCTTTCTTTTTTTCTTCATACATTTTCGTGAACATAATATGGTTTGATCCAATTTTTCATATGTATATAAGTATACAGAAAATGTACAAAATTAAACAAATATATTGAATGCATAATTAACATAAAGACGTTAGATGCAGGAGGGCTACAGCATAAGAAAAGTAGCATGACGTGCCCGCAATATAAGGTTTGTATAGTTTTGTTGCAGAAAGAAATTGCAAGAATATAATTTAAACATAAGCACCATCAACAAACAGATTAATATTCTGTTTAATTAGCCATATTGAACCAGTTGCCAACGACCTTCCATCCTCACATCAAGGTAATCGTGGCCGAGCGGTTAAGGCGATAGACTAGAAATATATTGGGGTCTCCCCGCGCAGGTTCGAATCCTGCCGATTACGAGATTTTTTTTTTAAATTTCAGTTACAATTGAACCTGCTTTAGTGACCCTCTGTCTACAAAGACCACTTTTACTTGAGTCCCTTGGGCGGTCGGTATAGACAGGTTTGACTGCATAATGAAATACGCTGTACACAGCGGTATAAACTGGTGATCAAAATTTGTCACTGGTGACGTCATTACCTGACAGTCCGCTAGACAGGTAGCTGATGTTATCTTCATCTATTTCGGAGAGTTTTTAGGTAAATAAACACAAAGATTGATCAATTAATCAATCAGAGGA